CAGGCTGTTGAGGATCAGAAGCCCATGATGCTCCAAGTGTAAACAGAAGAGTGCCAGGGAGTCATGCCCAAAGGAAATTGGTGGGCCATGGGCCCAGAAACAAAGCATTCCTTGGGTCTAGCACATCCCAGGTCACTCAACAACCTCTGGAAAGATTGAGCCATACCATGGAGTCTTAAAGGCTCTAGTGAGGCTACTGGGTGCAGAGGCACGGGAGCACTTGGCTGGAAATTTCTGAGAAGCACCTTGACCACTAAACAGAAGAGCATCTTGCAAGTGGCCTGGTGCTACCCAAAGAAAGGCCCTACCTGCTGTGGGATGAAAGTCCCTGCAGTGCCCATTAATGGTAGGCAATGAACTGCATTAATCTGCCTTATGCGGAGTCTCTTTTGCCTGTGCTGGTCACTGGTGAGTGATCTCCCTGTCCTTATCTAAGTGCACAAGTCTTCTTTCCATCAGGGTTTCTCCCCCATTCCTTTGAGGAAGGGGACTGAGAGAGCAGCATGGGGGAGTTCAGGTGCCTTCAGAGTGAAGCCTCTGCCTTTCCTGGTTGTTGTGTGGTCGCATGAGGGTCAAAATGTGGGTGCCGATGGCTCCCACAGTGCTGTGCTGGCAACAGTATGGCCCCAGCTGAGACTCCCTGAGAGTTCTTCATAAGCTGATTGACCACAGGATGAAGGAGAAATCTGCCCGCAGCCTTGGCAGCTGCCCCAGAGCTCTGAAGTCACTTTGGCCTTGGTGCAGGATTCCCCTGATGCAGTCATCATTTGTCCAGATGTTGAAGACAAGCAGAGTGATGTGGTCAGAAGAGGGCAAAGCTGACTGGACAAGGGGCAGGAGGGCTTTGCAAGGAGGATGCCGCCCTTGAGATACTTGTTAAAACAGTTCTCTCAGAGACGATGTGTTCAGAAGAGGGTAAAACAGTGAGCAGTGTTGGGATAAAATCAGACGGGCTTTACATAAAGGATTTTGTCCCTAACAAAGAACCAAAATCAGCACGTGCTGTGGTGTCTGAGACGATAAAAATAAGAGTGAAGGCTCTCAAAATTAAGCAGATACAGAAGGGTCTGAGGTAGGATCCAACCAATTAGAGCCTGTCTTTGGGCAAGGCTCTGGCGGCCACAGAAAGCCCACAGCACAGCTCCCAGCTGCACTGCAAGCCTCTGTCCCACTGCCCCCAGCTCAAAGCAAAGCAGACACCTGAAGCAGGCGGTGCTCCCCAAAAGCAGCGCCCCAAAAGATGCTGGGACAGGCGCCATGGGCAAGGCTGTCTCCTTCTGGCCCTGCTGTTCTGCTGCTGATGCTCTGTGAGTTGGGGCATTGCTGGGCATGGGGGCTGAGGGCTGGAGGGCTGCTGCAGTGGGCAGTAGCAGCTCCCCCAGCTCCCCATGCCCGGATTCCGCACGCCCTCCCCGCAGGCACGGTGCTGGCAGTGGTGGCCGTCGGCCTCGTCCTCCTGGCTGCAGGCAGCTGCTTTGTCATCAGGAAAGGTGAGGGAGTGGGGGAAGAAGAGGGAAAGGCTGAGGCCATGGGGATCCTGCTGTGGGACTCGTGCACTGGGAAATGTGGTGGAGGGAACCTGGGGGTACGCAGCTGGGGCAGGCGGTGCCTGGGGGTGATGGCTGTGGGCAGCCCAGCTGGGGAGGCTGCTGAGGGAGCTGGGGAGCTTCAGCCTTCATCCCCCAGCCCCGAGATGGGAGCCAAGACTGGGCAGCACCTTGACCTGCGCATCTCATCCCCTGTTCTTCTTGCAGGTGCCTGCAGAGGGAGATGCCCAAGGTGAGCACCAAGGGCTGCTAGCTGTTGGGGTTTGCAGGAGGGAGTGGGAGGCATGGCGGGGCCCTGTGGTGCTCTTCTTCTCAGCACACACGTACCTCAGAACCAGTGTTTTTGTGGAAGTATTGCTAAGGACCTTCAGCACCTTTTCTCTGTCATCTCTCTATGCCTCTCCATGTTGCTGGAAGTGCTCAGGACTTGTCTTCTGACCCCAGCCATTTCTGTAAGTGCCAGTCCCTTTTCACCCTTCTCTATGCACTGTGTGAAGTGCTGATGCCTTTGTCATGGCAAGCTGTGGCCATGGGGTCATCTCTGGTGAGGGGTGGGGAAGCCCTACCTGCTGTGTGTGGCTGGACACTAACGCAGGTTCTCTCCTCAGATGCCAACGTGGATGAGATGGGCAGAGTTAAGGTGAGTTCAGCCCAAGCACAGCCTTCCACACTGAGCGTGCACGTGATGGTTGCAAGAGTGCAGGCTGTTGGAGAGCAAATGCAAGCCAAAAGTGCTTCTGATGGCAGGAGCCTGGGAGCTTTGCATGGCTGTGCTCTGGCTGAATCCCCCTCCTTCCATGCTCCCAGCATTTCCCCATGGTGGGCACCGCCAGATCAAGTCTACTGCTTGTTCTCCCTTGTGTTTTGCAGCTCTCTCAATCCAACTGCTCTCAACACCCTCTGCATGCCAAAAGCTGAGCAAGTGAGAGGCGATGCAGCTGGTTCTCTGAGAGAGGCAGAGAACACTGGGGAAAGCCCTGCTGATCTGCCAGCTCTCAATGAAGCCACCCCAAACAGAAAAGTGCTGGTGTAGTTCTCGGCAAGGTCTGTTTGCAAGGCTCTTCACATCCCTTAAGATTGACACCACCACCCCTTTGTGCCTCAGTGTCTGTCTGTCTCCTCCGTCCCATTCCTGATGTGGCTGCATGAGACTTAGGTGCCATCAGGAACACAAAGTCAGAGATGTTTGTTTCTCATCTGAGCAGAACCACATCTGCAGTGCACACACCGGTTGGCACACACACGTGAGCACATTCCTGCAGTGCTATCTGTCCTTGTAGGTCCAAATGTGCATCTCCATGGGTGGAATAGCACCATCGCGACTTTATAATGCAACTTAGGTGTACACATCCTCCACTGAGCAAAGCGAGATGTTTTCTTCTTTTGAGAAAAAATCAATACTATCACAGTATGATTTACTATATCTCTTATATTTTAGAAGTATTAATGTATTATTGATGCAGGTGTGAGTCCTACATCCTCTTGGCTAAACACACACAACTCTTCCCTGTGACAGAAAACCCCAAAGAAGCCCAAAAGGCAACCCCCACCCCATGTTATGGCCGCTCAAGCCCTTTACAGGAGAGCAAAGGCAGCCGTGGACAAGGCTCCTGTGCACTTGCCCTATGACAGCGCTATCGGGTCTGGGTGCGGGTCACTGTGGCATATGTCGTGGTTTTTCCCATCTGCTGCACAGGAGGAGGCTTTAGGGGGAAAGAAACCCTGTTACTTCAGCTGCTGACTGTGAGCCCTGCACAATGAGCGGGCACCAGGCTGCAGAAGTGCAGAAAGGAGCTGTGCACAGCTGTGCCACGACTCACCCTGTCCCGTCGAACATGGGCGATGGTGGAGTCTGTGGGGGGAAAAAATACACACCATGAGCCTTGCCCACCTCTTGGAGGGGTACCGAGACCCACCCCGGCTTTGTGCATCAGCCCACCATTTCCCCTCCCACCTCCCTGCTTTGGGACGTGCATTAATCACCAGTGAAGCAGAGATGCTGAGGTTTTGGTGTATTTCCAGCTTTCTGTGGCATCTCCTTTCTTTGCACAGACAGCACACCTTGCGAGCTGCTCTGTACAGGCGTAGGAAAACAAGGTCATGCAGCAACTGGAGTACGGTGCACGTCAGGAGGGGATATATCTATAGCCTGTGACCCAACCACAACATCCTCTCTTTGCTGCTGCTTGTGGTTTCAGAGCAAGCTCTAAAATGTTTTCCCCACAAGCGCAAGGAAACAGCCACATCTTTCACTGCTGCTCTGTCCTTTCAACTGCATGAAAACAGAAATTGCTTTGTAGGAAAACTGAAGAAATGACAAAAGAAGAAGCTGAAGTGGGGGCATTGCAGCCTGGGGCTGCAGCAGCTGTGGAAGGACTCCCTAGGCAAATGGGCTTTGTCCCTATGAGCACTGGGATGCTGCCATGTCCCTTGTGCAGCCAGCAGCCACACTCTGCATGCAAGGAAGAAGCAGGACATGAGGTGCTGGAGAGAAACCTGGCCTTGATGAACAGGCAGGGATTTTGTATGTCCCAGTGGGAAATGAAGGGGTGGGATTGCATGGGGGCTCGCACAGGATTCTCATGGGGAGAGGAGCATGTGGCTTCCCCCAAGGGACGAGGTAGTACTCACACTGGATGTCACCATAGTTGGTGTCTTCCGCCTGTGGGCTGTCAACGTGCTGCTGCCTGGAGAGGAATGGAATGGTTCTGGGATGTGCATGTGCTGAGGAGGGGTCTGGAGGCTTATGCCCTTTGGTGTTGCTTTCCTGCATTTGGCATTGAACTGGAGGGCAGCCCAAGACAAGCCCCGTCCTTCCTGCCTTCTGCACAGGGAATGCCCCTGGCCAAGAAACACCCCAGGGCCCCGCTGTGCTTCTGAATCCCTCCTGCAAACCCCAACAGCCAGCAGCCCTTGGTGCTCACCTTGGGCATCTCCCTCTGCAGGCACCTGCAAGAAGAACAGGGGTTGAGGTGCGCAGGCCAAAGTGCTGCCCATCCCTGGCTCCCATCTCGGGGCTGGGGGACGAAGGCTGGAGCTCCCCAGCTCCCTCAGCGGCCTCCCCAGCTGGGCTGCCCACAGCCATCACCCCCAGGCACCGTCTGCCCCACCTGTGCACCCCCAGGTTCCCCCCTCTGCCTTTCCCACTGCACCAGCCCTGCAGCAAGACCCCCACGGCCTCAGCCTTTCCGCCCGCCTCCCCCACTCCCTCACCTTTCCTGATGGCAAAGCAGCTGCCTGCAGCCAGGAGGATGAGGCCGACGGCCGCCACTGAAAGCGCCGTGCCTGTGGGGAGGTTGTGCGGGAACCAAGAATTTGGAGCTGGGGGAGAGAGGGTGTGAGGGCAGCGGGGTTTGATGGGGAGAGGCAGGGAGCAGGACGTGCCTGTGCAGCCGGCATACCCACATGGTGGTCCTCACCTGGGGAGCTGTGGATGTCCTGGGTGGTCTCACCAGTAGTTGTACCTTGGTGGAAAGCGCGTTTTTCTTAGTAGGGAAAAGACCTTGCGCACCACCTCAACCATGCCCATGTCCCCACTGTTTGTCCTTGCTGAGCTGGCACCTGCCCACCCTGGTTTCTAAAATCAGCACCACTGTGGTCTCCCCTCTGTTTACCAGAACTTACTTTTACTCACATATATGCTGTAGCCCATCTCATGACAATAATATGATTTCCCTGGCCACAGGCTCATCAATGTAAAGGGCAGTCCTTGGAGCAACCATATCTCAACCTAGGGTCCTTGCACTCTGTGCCTCCACCCAGCACATCCCCAAGTCTGCAGCAGAGGTGGACCCTTGAGAGCAGCTTTCCCCCGAGGGGCTCCCTTGGAGGAGAGGGAACACTCCCGTGGGGGAACCACCCCAGAGACATGCCCTGCCTACTGCAGCACACAGCTCCAGCCTCTGTGGTGTCTCTGTCCCTTCTGTCCCCACCACCCTGGGGCTGTGTCTCACCTGGCACAGACAGCGTCCAGGGAGCACTTAGAGCAGAGCTCCTCACCCAGTTGCTGTCACTCCTCTGCTGGTACCCACACGTGTATGTCCCAGCACTTCTTGAGGTGATGTTCACTACTAAAGGGTAGATGACCCTGCCATGCTGGGCTTTCAGGCTGTGCTCCTCCTGCCCGTTCTTGCAGAAGACAACTCGTGTAGCAGGAAAATGAGCATCAATGGTACATTGAAAGAAAACTATTTCCCCCTCCTGGGCACTGGAAGTGTTGAGGTACAGGACTGGAGCCTGGTAGTTACCTGGAGGGAAGGCAAAGGGATTCCCCGGGCAAGCATTAGTGACTGCCAGGTGGCAAAACCAACTGCATGCCAAGGCTATGTGAGTCTGCTCTCCTGGAGTTTACACAATGAATTGTGAGGGAATAATCCATTCCAACAATCCCATCTCTTTCTGCAGGACATGTTCATTTTTGGGACTCACCTCCATGCTCCTGCAACCCTGGAGAGCTGCAGATGTCTTGGTTGGTCACTCCAGCACCTGCTCCAAGGGGCAAAGAGGGCTTTGCTTAGAGGGACAGCAACCTCCTGCCTTCCCCAAACCAACTCTGCCCCACAGTGCTGCACACCTGCCCCACACACGCTGTCCTCATCCTCTCCTGTGCCCACCACGGGTCTGTCCTGCCCACAGCAGCAGACCTCCAGCCCTCAGCCCCCACACCCAGCAATGCCCCAACTCACAGATCACCAGCAGCAGGACGGCAGTGCCAGAAGGAGACAGCCTTGCCCATGGTGGCTGCCCCAGCATCTTTTGGGGTGCTGCTTTTGGGGAGCAGCGTCGGCTTCAGGTGTCTGCTTTGTTCTGGGTTGGGGATGGTGGGACAGAGACTTGCAGTGCAGCTGGGACCTGTCCTGTGGGCTTTCTGTGGCCGCGTGAGCCTTGCCCACACTAAGAGGCTCTCATCAGCAGGGCCCTGCCTCAGCCCCTGCTACATCCGCTGCTTTTGTTGAGCCCCCGCTGTTATTTCTGTCTGCTCACACACTGCAGCTCATGCTGTTTTTACGTGTATCTCATGGCAGTATTCTTCCAACAGTGGCCTCCTGCCCCTTTTCCTATTGCCAGATTTGGCTCATTCTTTTGCAGCTCTCCATCAGGCTAGCAAACATCTGCAGCCTGTCCAAAATCCTTTTCCTTCTTTTCCACACCCATGTGGGCACAGCACTGCCGCATCCCCTGTCGATGTTCAGCCTCTGTACCCTTGTTGGTTGTGCAAGGCTGTGCAGCCTGAGCCCCTCTGCCTGCCAGCGGCTCCATGGGGAGACCTGGTGCTGCAGCCTGTGTCCCATGTAAGAAGGGAAGTCACTTCAACACCATGTCTTGGGGGTGTCTGGCAAGGAGACACTGGCTCCTTTCCACAAATCTCTGCCTTTCCTACCCTTTCTGAGTGCACGTGGAAACACAATTTTGCTGTGGAAAAAAAGAGCACTTTGTGCTGTACAATAATAACGGGGAGCCATTTTGCAGGGGATACCATTGCTGGATGGTCATGAGCCAGGTAGTGGTGAGTAATAACATTTTGCCTCTCCTTTTTGGGCAGTAAATTTACAAATGACTCCTGTTTGTTTCATTCATTTAACAAGTACTTTTGGGGATGCTGATGTATTTGCACTAGATGATCTTTCCAGGTCCCATTCAATTCCCAACATTCTGTGATTCTGTGCTACCAGAGCACTGTCAGAGAAGCCTCCCTCCCCTCCCCTCAGTAGTCTCTTTCCAGGGCCACCAACCAGACAGCTTTGCCCACACATTGCCAGTTGGGCTCATTTCAGCCTGCAGTTCAGACAATGGTTTGCATCCCCCTGTCCCTCCAGAAATAAAGCGGTTCTGCCCCCAATAACCTGATGGCAGTAGGGTCCTCTGTGTATCACTGTCTACCAGAGCCTCATACTCTCATGGTTCTCATGTGCAAGGCCTTTGCATTCACACTGTCCAGTCAATGCCATTGACCATTTTCTCCACCTGGCTGGTGGCAGGGCCCTTCCAGTCCTGCTCAGAGTGGCCATTACTTCATCCTAGCAAATGCAAACAGGAGAGTGGTCTGGCAATGACTTCTGCCAGTTCCCTCAGAATCCTGGGGTGCATTCCTTTGTGGGTGTATTGCCTTGGGGGTGGACAAGCCCCATGGTTGGTGATAGCAACAGTGTTTTCTGTTACCGGGCAAAGTTGTTAACTGATGAACCCATCTCATTCATCAGCAGCCCTCCATTGCCTCTAGTGTTATTTTATCTGCAATATATTTGTACAAGCCCTTCCATTTCTCCCTGACCCACTTGCAAGGTTTAATTCTAAGGAGACCTTAGCTTTCCTAGTTGCCTCCCTACATCCTCTGATAACAGTCTTATATTCCTCCCAAGTGGCCGCACCCTCCTTGCATGATCTGTAGACTTTCCTCTTCCACTTGAGTTTGCCCAGCAGTTCCCTCTTTAACAAGTCTCCTGGCTCTCTTTCCTGATTTCCAACCTGCTGAGATGCTCAGATCTTGAGCTGGGAAGAAGCAGTCCTTGAACACTAACCAACTGTCTTGGGACCCTTTCTTTCAGGTACCTTGTCCCATAGAAATTTCCCCTAGCAATTGTCTGAAAAGGCCAAATTTTTCCCTGCTGAAATCCAGGGTTGTGATTCTGCTCTGTATTCTCTTCCTACCCCATGAGATCTTGAACTGCACCATCTCATGGTCGCCACAACCAAGGCTGCCCTCAAATTTCAACCTTGCAAAGAGAAGACTGAGAGGAGACCTTATTAATGTATACAAATACCTTAAGTGTGGGAGACAGTGGGATTTGGCCAACCTCTTTTAAGTTGTTTGTGGGGATAGGAGAAGGGGCAATGGTCAAAAAAATGGAGCACTGGAAGTTCCACACCAACCTGCGAAAGAACTTCTTCACAGTGAGGGTGACAGAGCACTGGAACAGGCTGCCCAGGGAGCTTGTGGACTCTCCATCTCTGGAGATACTAAAGTCCTGTCTGGACACGTACCTGGGCAACCTGCACTAAGAAAACTGCTTTGGCAGGGGGGTTGGACCCGAGGATCTCTTGAGATCCCTTTCAACCCCTACAATTCTGTGATTCTGTGATTCTCTGTGTCAACCAACCCCTCCTTGTTAATGACAACAAGCTCTGACAGCACTCTTCTCCTAGTTGGCACGTCCACCATTTGTATCAGGAAGTTATCATCTGTGCTGGATGAACCAGCTCAAGGATCAGAGCAACCAAGTGAAGAACTCTGCCCTCAGTGTCCCCCGGGACTTGGCAGTCACAGGTGAGATGTGAAACCAGAGCAGAGGAGCATCCTCCATATACTGCTAACCCCAGAGGACGAAGGGGACATGCTCAGTGTCCTCATGGCCAGTCCCCAATCAGTTTGGGTGCTCTGCTATCAGTGCTCCTTGAACCCCATCTGTGCCAGGTGAGAATCAGCCCCAGGGCAGTGGGGGCAGTGGGACAGGGACACCGCTGAGGCTGGAGCATTGTACTGCAGCAGGCAGGGCATGGCTCTGGTGTGGTTCCCCCACAGGAGTGTTCCTTTTCCAACGAAGCCTCTAGTGAGAGAGCATCTCTCAAGGACTACCTGTATCTCTGCATCACCTGTGCTGTGTCATCTGAGCTGCCTCACCATCACGTGGTAGGACAGCTCACATGGCTGTAATGCTGTCATGGAGGGCTATGTCTCTTTTAGGAAAGACAGGCTGGGGAAGCGAGGGGGTGGGGTTTCCCTTTATGTGAGCGAGCAATTAGAGTGTATCCTGCTCCACCTGGAGGAGGGTGAAGGACAAGTGCAGAGCTTGTAGGTGAGAATTAAAGGGTGGGCTGGTATGGGGGACACTGTTGTAGGGGTGTACTACAGATCACCAGATCATGAGGAGGAAGTCTATGAAGCCTTCTACAAGCAGCTGGAAGTAGCCTTATGATCCTTGGCACTGTTTCTCATGGGGGACTTCACTTATCCAGGCATCTGTTGAGTAAGCAACTCAGCCAGACATGCACACTCCAAACAGTTCCTACAATGCGTTGAAGATAATTTTCTGACCCAGGTGGTGGAGGAGCTGATGAGACAGGGTGTGCTGCTGGGCCTTATCCTTACCAACAGGGATGGGTTTGTTAGGGATGTGAAGGCTGGGGGAAGCTTAGGATGCAGCGACCATGAGACGGTGGAGTTTAAGATGGAACTTGGTGGAAGAAGTAAGGCTAAAGGGGAAGGAAACCTACATGGATGAGCAAGGAGCTCATCGATAAGATCAAAAAGAAAAGGAAGGTCTATGAAATGTGGAAAAAGAACCTGTCCTCTTGGGAGGAGTATACAAGTGTTGTCAGGACCTGCAGGGACGTGACAAGGAAGGCTAAAGCCCACCTAGAGATGAGGCTTGCAAAAGAGGTAAGAGATAATAAGAAGGGTTTTTTTAAGTATGTAAACAGTAAAAGGAAGACTAGGGATAATGTGGGTCCCTTGATGAACCAAAGGGGTGTCCTGGTAACGGGAGATGCCAAGAAGGCAGAAATACTGAATGCTTTCTTTACTTCAGTCTTTGTTTCAAGGACTCCCCCCCAGGACTCCACAACCCTGAAGGGAGGAGAAAGGGTCTGGGAAATGGAGGGCTCCCCCCTGGTAGATGAGAGAGTGGATCGGAAGCATCTGAGTGGGCTCAAAGCACACAAATCCATGGGTCCCGATGGGATGCATCCACGTGTCCTAAGGGAATTAGCAGAGGTGATTGCTGAACCACTCTCTATCGTCTTCGAAAGGTCCTGGAGAACAGGAGAGGTGCCTGAAGGCTGCAGAATAGCCAATGCCACTTTGGTCTTCAAGAAAGACAAGAAGGAGGATCCAGGAAACTACAGGCCAGTCAGTATCACCTCTGTCCCTAGAAAGGTGTTGGAACAGTTTGTTCTGAATGCCATCTCCAAGCAACTGGAAGAGAAGAAGGTTATGAGGAGTAGTCAGCATGGATTCACAAAGGGGAAGTCGTGCTCGACCAACCTCGTTGCCTCCTATGATGGCATCAGCTGATGGGTATATGAGGGGAGAGCAGTGGATGTCACCTACCTTGACTTTAGCAAGGCTTTCTATACTGGCTCCCATGACATCCTGCTAGCAAAGCTGAGAAAGTGTGGGATAGAGGAGTGGACAGTAAGGTGGGTTGAGAACTGGCTGACTGGCCGAGCTCAGAAGGTGGTGATCAGAGGTGCATAGTCTGGCTGGAGACCTGTGACTAGGAGAAGGACCCGGGGGTCCTGGTGGACAACAGGTTGGCCATGAGCCAGCAGTGTGCCCTGGTGGCCAAGAGGGCCAATGGGATCCTGGCGTGGATTAAAAGGAGTGTGGGCAGCAGGTCAAGGGAGGTGATCCTTCCCCTCTACTCTGCCCTGCTCAGGCCTCACCTGGAGTGCTGTGTCCAGTACTGGGCTCCCTGGTACAAAAAAGACAGGGATCTCCTGGAAAAAGTCCAGCGGAGGGCCACAAAGATGATACAAACCCTGGAGCATCTTCCCTGTGAAGAAAGGCTGAGAGACATGGGTCTACTCATCCTGGAGCAAAGAAGACTGAGAGGAGATCTTATCAATGTATCCAAATACCTTCAGTGTGGGAGACAGAGGGATTTGGCCCACTATAAGAACTCCTTCACACTGAGGGTGACAGAGCAATGGAACAGGCTTCCCAGGGAGGTTGTGGACTCTCCATCTCTGGAGATATTCAAGGCCCATCTGGATGCCTACCTGGGTAACCTCCTGTCCCACCATGTCTCTGTAATTGCCAACAGATCACAGTCTCCTGACCAAACACTGATTTCTAACTCCTCCTGCTTATTCCCCATGCCATGTGCATTAGTGTCCATGCATTTCAGGGAAGGAGCTGAGCACACCAATTTCACCCCATGGGGGTAGGAGGCCTGCCAGTCTTCATTTCTGCGAGGGTGCTGCCCCACTAGTGCAAGCCCTGCTACAACCCCATCCCCCTGCTTGAAAGTTTCCAAATGAGCCCTGCTAATTGCTGTCCCAGAACCCTCTGGACCCTGTGAGATAAACCTTTCTCAAGCAGATGGGGAACATGCCAGATGTAGGAAAGCAACACCAAAGAGCATAAGGCTCATGTCCCCTCCTCAGCACATGCACACTCCAGAACCATTCACATTCCTCTCTAGGCAGCAGCACATTGACAGCTCACAGATGGAAGACATCAACAGTGGTGACATCCAGTGTGAGTACTACTTCCTCCCTTGGAGTAAGCCACATGCCCCTCTCCCCTTGAGAACCCCGTGCACCAGTACATGCAATCCCACCCCTTCATTTCCCACTGGGAAATACAAAATCCCTGCCTATTCATCAAGAGCAAGTTTCTCTCCAGCACCTCACGTCCTGCTTCTTCCTTGCATGCAGAGTGTGCAAGGCTGCTGGCTACACAAGGGACATGGAAGCATCCCAGTGCTCCCAGGGACAAAGCCCCTTTCCTTGGGGAGTCCTTCAACACCTGTTGCAGCCCCAGGCTTCAATTCCTCCACTCCAGCCGCTGCTTTTGTCCTTTCTTCAGTTTCTCTTCAGAGGCATTTCTGCTTCAAGAGCAGGCCAAAGCATTGCACAGCAATGAAAGACATGGCTCCTTGCACTGGTGGGAAAAATATCTTATAGATCGCTCTGAAACCACAAGCTGCAGCAAAGAGAGGATGTTGTGGTTGGGTGACAGGCTATAGATATATCCCCACTCTACGTACACTTAGCACAAGTTGCAGCATTACCTTCTTTTCTGAAGCCTGCATAGAGCAGTTTGCAAGGTGTGCTGGCTGTGCAAAGAGAGGAGATGCCACAGAACGGTGGAAATACACCAAAACCTCAGCTTCTCTTCTCCACTGCTGCTTAAGGCATGTCCCAGAGCAGGGTAATGGGAGGGGAAATGAGGCTGGCCATTTTGTACTGAGCCCAGGCATCCCAGACAAGCCAGGGTGGGTTTCAGTCCTCCTCCAACAGGCAGAAAGGGCTCATGGTGTGTTTTTTTTTTTTTGCCCCCACAGACTCCACCGTCGCCCACATTCAACGGGACAGGGTGAATCGTGGCACAGCTGTGCACAGCTCCTTTCTGCACTCCTGCAGCCTGGTGCCCGCTCATTGTGCAGGGCTCACAGTCAGCAGCTGAAGTAACAGGGTTTCTTTCCCCCCTAAAGCCTCCTCCTGTGCAGCACATGGGAAACACCACGACATATGCCACAGTGACCCACACCCAGACCCGATAGTGTTGTCACAGGGCAAGGGCACAGGAGCCTTGTCCATGGCTGCCTTTGCTCTCCTGTAAAGGGCTTGAGCGGCCATAACATGGGGTGGGGGTTGCCTTTTGGGCTTCTTTGGGGTTTTCTGTCACAGGGAAAAGCTGTGTGTGTCTAGCCAAGAGGATGTAGGACTCATTTCTCTCTTTGCAACACATTAAGATCTCTAGTGTATATCAGGTATATGAAATGATACTGTGAGTGTATCGATGTCTCTTCACCGAGTTAAAACATCTCCCTGTGCTCAGTGGATGACATGCATACTTGTATACTACACGATAAAGACACAAGGGTGCTCTTCTACCCATCCACAGAGATGTACATTTGGACTTGCAGGGACAGATATCACTGCAGGGATGTTGTAGTGGGTTTAAGTGGCAACGTTTTGGTAGCAGGGGGCCATAAGGGTGGCTTCTGTGAGAAGGATCTAGAAGCTGCCCTATGTTTGGTAAGGACCCCACTGTTGACTAGACCTAAGCCAATATGTGATGTTATTTTGTTTCTCCATGAGAGCATGTATAAGACAGGGAAAAAAAATGCTGCGCCATACAGCAGCTGGGAGAGTGAGAGGAGTGAGGAACAGCCTTGCAGGCACCAAGAACAGTGAGGAGGGACTGGGAGAGGTGCCCCAGGCACTGGAGCAGAAGTCCCCTGCAGCCTGTAGTGGGGAACATGGTGAAGCAGGATGTCCCCCTGTAGCCCATGGAGTACCACGGTGGAGCAGGGTTCCACGCTGCAGCCCGTGGAGGAGACCATGGTGGAGCAGGTGGCCCTGCACCGACAAAGGCTGCCACCTGTGGAAGACCCCTGCCCGAGCAGATTCCAGGCCGGACCTGTAGCCCGTGGAGAGGAGTCCACGCAGGAGCAGGTGACCTGGCAGGAGCTGCTGCCTATGGGGGACCCAGGTTGGAGCAGTTTGCTCCTGAGGGATGGACCCCATGATACGGATCCATATCTTGAGCAGTTCTTGCAGAGCTGTAGCCTGTGGGCAGCCCATGCTGGATCAGTTCACCAAGGACTGCATCCTGTGGGAGGGACCCACAGCACAGGGGACAAGAGTGACAGAGGAGTGGCAGAGAAGAAGCACTATAAGCTGACCATAAAGCCCATTCCCCTGTTCTGTTGCGCCGCTCGGGGAGAGGAGGTGGAAAAGGGTTGATGGGGGGGAAGATGCTTTTGGTTTCCTTTGTTTCTCACTTCTCTAGCTTTGAAGTAATAGGTAATAAATGTTACCATCTACATATGCTGACTCTGTTTTGCATGTAATGATAATTACTGTGCTATATCCTCAACCTAATCTCAAACCTTGAGCCTTTTTCATTGTATTCTCTCCCCATTCCTCTTAGAAAAGTAGGAGTGAGAGACCAGTTGTGCTGGAGATCAACTGCACACTCCAGTAAAACCACCACAGATGTGCTCACATGTGTGTGCAAATAGTTGTGTACACAGAAGATGTTATTTTGCTCAGATGACAAATAAATGTCTCTGACTTTGTGTTCCTGATGGCACCTCTGACCCATGCAACCACATCAGGAATGGGACGGAACAGACAGACAGACACCAATGCACGAAGGGGTGGCGGTGTCAATCTGAAGAGATGTGAAGAGCCTTGCAAACAGACCTTTCCAAGAAAAACTACACCAGCTCCTTCCTGTTTGGGATGGCTTTATTGAGAGCTGAAAGGTCGGCCGGGCTTTCCCCAGTGCTCTCTGCCTCTCTCAGAGAACCAGCTGCATCGCCTCTCATTTGCTCAGCTTTTGGCATGCAGAGGGTGTTGAGAGCAGTTGGATTGAGAGAGCTGCAAAACACAAGGGAGAAGAAGCAGTAGACTTGATCTGGCGGTGCCCACCATGGGGCAATGCTGGGAGCATGGAAGGAGGGGGATTCAGCCAGAGCACAGCCATGCGAAGCTCCCAGGTTCCTGCATTTGGATGCACTTTTGGCTTCCATTTGCTCTCCAACAGCCTGCCCTCTTGCAGCCATCACGTGCACGCTCAGTGTGGAAGGCTGTCCTTGGGCTGAACTCACCTTCACTCTGCCCATCTCATCCATGTTGGCATCTGGAGGAGAGAACCTGAGTTAGTGTCCAGCCACACACAGCAGGTAGGGCTTCCCCACCCCTCACCACAGTTGCTCCCATGGCCACGGCTTGCTGTGACAAAGGCATCAGCACTTCACACAGTGCCTAGAGAAGGGTGAAGAAGGGACTGGCACTTACAGAAACGTCTGGGGTCAGAAGAAGAGTCCTCAGCACTACCAGCAACATAGAGAGGCATAGAGAGATGACAGAGAAAAGGTGCTGAAGGTCCTTAGCAACACTTCCACAAACCCCCTGGTTCTGAGGTGCATGTGTGCTGAGAAGAAGAGCACTGCATGGCCCTGCCATGCGCCCAACTCCCTGCTGCACACCCCAACAGCCAGCAGTCCTTGGAGCTCACCTTGGGCATCTCCCTCTGCAGGCACCTGCAAGAAGAACAGGGGCTGAGGTGCACAGGCTAAGGTGTTGCCCAGCCCTGGCTCCCATCTCGGGGCTGGGGGACGAAGGCTGGAACTCCCCAGCTCCCTCAGCAGCCTCCGCAGCTGGGCTGCCCACAGCCATCACCCCCAGGCACCGTCTGCCCCAGCTGTGCACCCCCAGGTTCCCCCCACTTCCTTTCCCTCTGCACCAGCCCCGCAGTAGGACCCCCACAGCCTCAGCCTTTCCCCCCTTCTTCCCCCACTCCCTCACCTTTCCTGATGGCAAACCAGCTGCCTGCAGCCAGGAGGACGAGGCCGATGGCCGCCACTGCCAGCACCGTGCCTGTGGGGAGGGCGTGTGGGATCCGGGCATGGGGAGCTGGGGGAGAGACTGTGTGAGGGCAGCGGGGTGTGATGGGGAGAGGCAGGGAGCAGGATGTGCCTGTGCAGCCGGCACACCTCCTGTCTGGTAAAGCTCCTGTTTGTCCCAATGCCAAGGGGACTGCAAGTCAGCACGCCCTGGATGTCTGGAGAGCCTGGCAGCCCTGAACTTCATACTGGTGTCCCTGGGTGTGCAGGATGGAATCACTCACCTGGGGGTGATGACCATGTCGGGGAACCTGCCACAGTGCCTGGCAGGAGATAGGGACAGTATGAGTGTCTGCAGCATGCCTGCTCTGCCCAGGCTAGGCACATACTGATCTTGTGTCCTGCAACACCCCTGAACATAACTGTGTGGGGCAGGGGAGACACAGCCCCATGGGCACATCCCCCCACTGACAGCCAGCACCATCCTCAGTGGAGGTGTAAAATTGCCCACAGCTGCTGTGCCAACATGGGCCCGTATGGATCTGGTGTCTAAATGCAAGTGCCTCTATCTCTTATCTCCAGACCTCTGTGGAACCGTGTCTCACCAGGGACATCCAGGATGCGGCCAGCACTGAGGGCAGAGCTTCTTACTCGGTTGCTGCCATCGTTGACCTGGTATCCACATGTGTATGTCCCCTCGCTCTCCTGGGTGACCTTTAGAGTTATGGTGTAGCTCAATTTCCATGGTTGCCATTTCAGGCTGTGGGCCTCCATCCTATCCTTGCAGAATACAATCCGGGAAGGCACTGAAGGGCCATCAATGGTGCAGCGAAGTGAAACCAATTCCCCCTCCTGATTGCTGGAGGTGTTCAGGAAGAGGGCTGGAGCCGGGAGGTCACCTGGAGAAACAGCACACAGATTGCCTGGGCAGCGTTACTGACAGCAGAGAAACAAAGAGACCTGGATCCCAAATGGTGAAAAGTCTTCTGTCAAGGGATTAACATGGGAAGAACAAACTTCCTCTGTCTTCCCATATCAGTCACCACACCCACACACCCCTCCCCTCTGCCACACATCCCCACACTGTTCCCTCACCTGGGGATCTGCAGATGTCCTGGGCGATGACACCAGCACCTGCAGCATGGGGCAGAGAGAGCTTTGCTTAGAGGGGCAGTGACCTTCTGCCTTCCCAAAAGCAACACTGTCCCACTGTGCTCCACGCCTGCAATGCCCATCCTCCCCTGTGCCCAGCACAGGCCTGTCCTGGCCCCAGCAGCAGACCTCCAGCCCTCAGCCCCCACACCCAGCAATGCCCCAACTCACAGATCACCAGCAGCAGGACGGCAGTGCCAGGAGGAGACAGCCTTGCCCATGGCACCTGCCACAGCATCTTTTGGGGAGCTGCTTTAGGGGAGCAGCGTCGGCTTCAGGTGGCTGCTTTGCTGTGAGCTGGGGACAGTGGGACAGAGGCTTGATGTGCAGCTGGGACCTGTCCTGTGGGCTTTCTTCAGCCGCCTGAGCCTTGCCCACAGACAGACACTCTGACCAGCCAGGCCCTGCCTCAGCCCCTGCTGCGTCTTTTTCATGTGCAGAGCCTGCACTTTCAGTTACAGATACTAAGACACTTTGCCACACATTATTTTCACTTGTAACTCAGGGGCAGCATCCTCCCTGCAAAACCCTACTGGACCTTGACTCCAGCCAGCTTTAGCCCATTGACTGACAGCTCCCATGGCACCAGAAAGCATCATCAGCCTTTCTGAGAACTTTTTAGCTCATTCTCCTTGCATGTGCTTGATAATTGTAAATCAGCTCCTGAACTGTTGTTCCGTTTACACGGCTACACAGCCTGAGCCCCTCTGCCTGCCAGCGGCTCCATGGGGAGACCTGGTGCTGCAGCCCTCTGTCCTGTGCAGAAGGGGACTCACTCACAACCCAGGCCTTGGGGGTTTCTGGCAAGGAGACACTGGTTCTCTTCCCCAAATCTCTGCCTTTTCTCCCATTTCCTAGTGCACCTGGAAAACTGCTTTGCGCTGTACAAGAACAAGTGGGGGTGCAGTTCTGTAGGGCCTGCCATAACTGTGGGACTTAATGGGCATGGGTCAGTTAAGAGTGAGAAATTTTGTTTTCATCACTTTTTTTTTTCCCCATTTTTGCTTAATATACCACATTTATGTCAACCCATGAATTTCCTAAATTTTGCCGTCATGATTCTCTTGCCCTGATCCCAGTGGGGTTTGGCTGAGTAAGTGGCTCTGTGCTGCTTCCCTGCCCACTGGATTTAAAGCACAACTGCTCTATTTGGCATCCCACTTGGGGATGCAAGGGTTGATAATTTTGATAAAAGCAGTGGCCGTGAGTCTACTATGGCAGATAGGCTCTGTGATCCTCTCCTTCTTGTTTTTTGGGAACTTTCTGTTAGAGACATTTAACATCGACAAATATACCATGTCTTCTCCAAGGGGCAAGTGGAGGAGGAAACAAGGAGTGGCACCTTCACCTTCTCTCCAGCACGTGTTCTGGGTTTATCCAAAGGCTAAAAGTCTATTTCTGAGTCTAAGTAAGGGACATGTGCCCAGGCGGAGTGGTTATGGATAGCAAGGTGAGTGAGAGAATCGGGGTTGGGATGGAGAACAATGCTCACTTGCAGTGCTTTGGGACTTCACCCTTGAACAAGCGTGTGATACTGATGATCTGAGTGAATGTTGGAAAAAAGGATGTCCTTACTGTGGCACTCAAAAAGTGACCCAGAATCACAGAATCACAAAATATTAGGGATTGGATGGGACCTTGAAGGATCATTTAGTCCAATCCCCCTGCAGGAACAGGAACTCCTTCATCAGGTCACACAGGCATGTGTCCAGACGGGTTTTGAATGTCTCCAGAGAAGGAGACACCACAACCCCCCTGGGCATCCTGTTCCAGTGCTCTGTTACCCTCACTGTGAAAAGGTTTCTTCTCTTATTTGGGTAAAACAGCCTATGTTCCAGCTTGCACCCATTGCCCCTTGTCCTATCATTAGATGTCACCGAGAATAGCTTGGCTCTGTCCTCATGACACTCACCCATCACATATTTCTAAGTATTAATAAGGTCATCCCTCAGTCTCCTCTTCTCCATGCTAAAGAGACCCAGATCCCTCAGCTTTTCCTCGTAAGGGAGATGTTCCACTCCCTTCATCATCTTTGTGGCTCAGTGCTGGACTCTCTCAAGCAGTTCCCTGTCCTTCTTGAACTGTGGAGCCCAGAACTGGATTGCAATAGTCCTGGTGTGGTCTCACCAGGGAAGAGTAGAGCAGGAGAAGAACCTCTCTCTATGTACTAACCACATCCCTTCTGATACACCTCAGGATGCCATTAGCCTTCTTGGCCACAAAGGCATGGTACTGGCTCATGGTCATCCCTCTGTTCAGCAGGAACCCCAGGTCCCCTTCTCCTGCACTGCTCTCCAACTGGTCAGTCCCTAACTTCTACCTGTGTCTCTGGGGTTGCTCTTGTCCAGATGAAGGACGCTACACTTGCCCTCATTATATTTCATTATGTTTCTCCCCATCCAATTCTCCATCCTGTCTAGGTCTCGTGGGATGGCAGCACAGCCTTCCACTGTGTCAGCCACTTCTCCCAGTTTAGTGTCATCAGCAAACTTGGTGACAGTGCACTCCATTCCCTCATCCAAGTCATTGATGAACATATTGACTAGTACTGGTTCCAGTACTGACCCTTGAGGGACTCCACCAGATACAGGCCTCCAACTTGACTCCACCCCATTGACCACAACCTTCTGGCTTCTTCCCTTCAGACAAATACAGCACCACAGTATAAAAAGGACATGAAACTGTTAGAGAGTGTCCAGAGGAGGGCTACGAAGATGGTGAAAGGCCTGGAGGGGAAGACGTACGAGGAACGGCTGAGGGCATTGGGCCTGTTCAGCCTGGAGAAGAGGAGGCTGAGGGGAGACCTCATTGCAGTCTACAACTTCCTCGTAAGGGGGTGTCGAGAGGCAGGAGACCTTTTCTCCATTAACACCAGCGACAGGAGCCGCGGGAACGGGGTTAAGCTGAGGCAGGGGAAGTTTAGGCTTGACATCAGGAGGGAGTTCTTCACAGAGAGAGTGGTTGCACACTGGAACAGGCTCCCCAGGGAAGTGGTCACTGCACCGAGCCTGACTGAATTTAAGAAGAGATTGGACTGTGCACTTAGTCACATGGTATGAACTTTTGGGTAGACCTGTGCGGTGTCAAGAGTTGGACTTGATGATCCTTAAGGGTCCCTTCCAACTCAGGATATTCTATGATTCTATGAAATCACAGTCCACCTCACTACCCAATCATCCAGACCACACTTCTTCAGTTTAGCTGCAAGGATGCTGTGGGAGATGGTGTCAAAGGCTTTACTGAAATCAAGATAGACCACATCCCCTGCTTTAATATCATCTATCCCCCCAGTTATATCCTCATAAAAGGCTCTCAGTTCGGTCAAGCACGACTTCCTCTTGGTGAAGCCATGTTGACTGCCCCTATTGACACTTTTGTCCTTGATATGCCTGGAGACAACGCCAAGGCTAAGTTGTTCCATTAGCTTTGCAGGGATGGAGGTGAGGTTGACTGGTCTATAGCTACCTGGGTCATCCTTCTTTCCCTTTTTGAAGACTGGACTAACATTTGCTTTCCTCCCGTGCTCAGGCAACTTTCCTGATGCCCATTACTTTCCACAGATAATGGATAATGGCCTAGCAATGACTTCCACCAACTCCCTAAGCACGCACGGGAGCATCCCATCATGACCTGTGGATTTATGGATGTCCAGAGATGTTTATTTTTCTTCTAAACAAAACCACATCTGCAGCGCACACACCAATTGGCAGACACATGCGAGCACATCCCTGCAGCGATACCGGTCCCTACAGGTCCAAATGTGTGGGTGCATGGAAGACCAGCCCTGTGACTTTATAATGCAGTTTAGGAATACATAATTTCCAGTGAGCACAGGGAGATGATTTAATATGAGGAAAAACCATTGCTACACTCACAATATTACTTGGTACACCTGATATATTTTAGAGGTATTAATTTATTGCAAACAGAGATATGAGTCCTTCAACCTCTTGGCTACACACATACAGCCCTTTCCTGTGACAGAAACCCCAAAGAAGCCCAAAGTGCACCCTCCAGCCCCACGTTATGGTTGCAAGAGCCCGCTACAAAAGAGTAAAGGCAGCTGTGGGCAAGGCCCCTGTGCCCTTGCCCTGTGGCAGCCCTATCGGGTCTGCGTGGTGGTCACCGTGGCATACGTCGTGGTGTCGCTCATCTGCTGCATGGGACAAGGCTTTAGTGGGAAAAGAAAGCCCTGTTACTTCAGCTGCTGACTGTGAGCCCTGCACAATGAGCGTGCACCAGGCTGCAGAACTGCAGAAAGGAGCTGTGCACAGCTGTGCCACAACTCACCCTGTCCCATCGAACGTGGACGATGGTGGAGTCTGTGGGGGCAAAAAAAAAACACACCATGAGCCCTTTCTGCCTGTTGGTGAATGTTGGAACTACACCCTGGCGTTGGGCATCAGCTCCTGGGCTCAGCACTCAATGCCTGGCCACATTTCCTCTCCCTTCACTCTGATCTGGGACGTGCATTAATCAGCAGTGGAGCAGAGATGCTATGTTTTTTTGTATTTTCACAATTCTGTGGCATCTCCTCTCTTTGCACAGCCAGCAAACTTTGCAAACTGCTCTGTGCAGTCATGGGAAAACAAGGTCGGGCTGCAACTCGAGCGAGGTGTACGTAGAGTGGGGATATATCTATAGCCTGTCACCCAACCACAACATCCTCCCTTTGCTGCAGCTTGTGGTTTCAGAGCGATCTATAAGATATTTTTCCCACCAGTGCAAGGAGCCATGTCTTTCATTGCTGTGCAATGCTTTGGCCTGCTCTTGAAGCAGAAATGCCTCTGAAGAGAAACTGAAGAAAGGACAAAAGCAGAGGCTGGAGTGGGGGAATTGAAGCCTGGGGCTGCAACAGGTGTTGAAGGACCCCCCAAGGAAAGGGGCTTTGTCCCTGGGAGCACTGGGATGCTTCCATGTCCCTTGTGTAGCCAGCAGCCTCGCACACTCTGCATGCAAGGAAGAAGGAGGATGTGAGGTGCTGGAGAGAAACTTGCTCTTGATGAACGGGCAGGGATTTTGTATTTCCCAGTGGGAAATGAAGGGGTGGGATTGCATGTACAGTTGCACTGGATGCCCATGGTGAGATGGGCATGTGGCTTCCCATGTGGGAGGAGGTAGTACTCACATGTGACTTCTCCAGAGTCAGTTGTTTCCATCTGTGGGCTGTCAACGTGCTGTTGCCTGGAGAGGAATGGAATGGTTCTGGGATGTGCGTGTGCTGAGGAGGGGTCTGGAGGTTTATGCCCTTTAGTGTTGCTTTCCTACATTTGGCATGGAACTGGAGGGCAGCCCAAGACAAGCCCCATCCTTCCTGCCTTCTGCACAGGAGATGCCCCTGAACAAGGAGCACCTCAGGGCCCCACCATGCCCTCAACTCCCTCCCCCATGCCTCACAGCCAGGAGCCCTTGGTGCTCACCTTGGGCATCTCCCTCTGCAGGCACCTGCAAGAAGAACAGGAGTTGAGGTGCACAGGCCAAGGTGCTGCCCAGCCCTGGCTCCCATCTTGGGGCTGGGGGATGAAGGCTGAAGCTCCCCAGCTCCCTCAGCAGCCTCCCCAGCTGGGCTGCCCACAGCCATCACCTCCAGGCACTGTCTGCCCCAGCTGTGTACCCCCAGGTTCCCCCAACCAACTTTCCCACTGCACCAGCCCTGCAGTAGGACCCCCACAGCCTCAGCCTTTCCCCCCTTCTTCCCCCACTCCCTCACCTTTCCTGATGGCAAACCAGCTGCCTGCAGCCAGGAGGATGAGGCCGACGGCTGCCACTGCTACCACCATGCCTATGGGGAGGGTGTGTAGGATCCGGGCATGGGGAGCTGGGGGAGAGAGGGTGTGAGGGCAGCGGGGTGTGATGGGGAGAGGCAGGGAGTAGATATGCCCAAGCAGCTGGCTCACCTCCTGTCTGGTAAACCTCCTTCTTGTCCCCATGTCCTGGGGAAGGCAGCACAGCACACCCACTCCCCATGCTGGGGGGTTCTGAGGGTACAGGAGAAAATTACTCACCTGGGGGTGATGGACTTGCTGGGGAACTCGCCACATTGCCTGGCAGGACAAAAGGACAGGCTTAGTGTCTACAGTGCACCCAGATCCTTCCCAGAATGAGCCTCAGCCCCATGGGAACATTTCTCCATCGACAGCCAGCACCATCCCCAGGGGAGGCATAAAATGCCCGCGGCTGTTGTGCCAACATAGACCCCCATGGATCTTCTGTCTAAGTTCCCTCATGAGTGGTTAAGTATAGCTTCGTTTAGGAGTGCCTGCCGATTAAATATGGCAACACCACTCTCACATTTCTGTGATTCTGGGGGCTAGAGGATCACACAACTACAAAATGGCCAAGGATAGAAGGGACCTCTGTAGTCCAGCCTTCTGCTGAGCAGGATCATCTAGGACAGACTGCACAGAATGGCATCCAGGTGGATTTGGAATATCTCCAGAGGAGTATCTCCACAGCGTCTCTGGGCAGCCTGTTCCAGTGCTCTGCCACCCTCCCAGTAAAGAAATGCCCCTCATATTCAGATGGAATTTCTGTACTGCAATTTGAGCCCGTTGCCTCTCGCTCTTTCCCTGGGCACAATCGAAAAGAGACTAGCTCCATCCTCTCAACACCCTCCCCTCAGATATTTATAGACATGGATGAGGTCTCCCCTCAGTCTCCTCTCTTCCAGGCTAAACAGGCTCAGTTCTCTTGGCTCCGGTCCTCTGACCATCTCCGAAGTCATCCTCTGGACTCTCTCCAGTAGTTCTATGCCCCTCCTGAACAGGGAATCCCAAAACTGGACACAAAATGCTTTGTGTTCCATGCAGGGAAGTGATTCCTTCCCAGGAGCTCTCGCCCAGAGAACAAATTCCCTCTCCCTTGCCATCACCACCCCACACACACCTCTCTTCAGTCACCCATCCCCATGCTCAACCTCACCTGGGGAGCTGTAGATGTCCAGGGTGGTCAGGCCAGCACCTGCCCCTTGGGACACAGAGGGTTTTTTTTAGAGGGAGTGAGAGCTGGGGCAGCCACACGCTTGTGCCCATGTCCCTGCTGCTGGGTCCTTGCCATGTCCTCACTGCTGTGTCCTTGCCAGGCAGGCACCTTGTCACCCCTACATCTCAGTCCAGCACCCCTGTGGTCTTCTCCCTTGGATCGATACCATGTCCCTTTCATCTGGTTCGATGTTCCACAGAGAGGTCTCCAAATACCTAAGAACTCCAGTATGTCCCTGTTCTCACCCAAGAGCTCCAGACCCATTTTCAGAGCCATAAATGTAGACTTCTTCTTCACACATAGGTAACTGCCCAGATCATGACAATCTCCACATTTCTCCTGCCATAGGCTCATCAATTCACAGGGCAGATGTTGAAGCATGCCATATGCTCCATCTCTGCAGCAGAGGTGCTGCTGCAGGAATAGAGGGACCAATTGGGAGCTGCTCTCTCTCTGTAGGGGCTGCCTCTGAGGAGAGGGAACACTCCCGTGAGGGAACCACCCCAAAGCCTGCTGCAGCACACAGCTCCAGACTCAGCACAGCCATGTGGTGGCAAGTGCCTCCATCCCTTCTCACCCCTCCAGCCTGGGGACATGTCTCACCTGGGACATTCAGGATGCGGCCAGCACTGAGGGCAGAGCTCCTCCTCTGTTTCATCTCATTCCTCTGCTGGTACCCACATGTATATCTTCCTGCGCTTCTTGACGTGATGTTCAAGACCACAGAGTAGCTCAGCTGCTCTTGATGGGCTTTCTCGCTGTACAGCTGCTTGCCATCCTTGCAGATGATGATTCTTATTACGGATGACACCACAGGGAGAATACACTGGAGCAAAACTGTGGTACCTGGCTGAGCAGAACTTGAGTTCATTTGGAGAGCAGGAGCCAGGAGATCCCCTGCAGGAGACACAGCAGTGAAGGGCTGCCATAGGGCAGAGCTCCATAGGGCAGAGCTCACAGTGGTTGGGCTTCCAAGTGCCCTGGGTCTGGGAGGGAAGGACTCACAAGTACCTGAGGAGCTGCAGATGTCCTGGGAGGTCATGCTGCCACCTGTACCAAGGGGCAGAGAGGGATTTGCTGAGAGGAGCAGTGTCCTGACTCATCCTGATGCCCCTGCTCACATCCTCACTGCTAAGCAGCCTGCATGTTCTCATGATGTCTCTCTTCAATATCCCCTCAAACAATGCCAATCCCAATCCCATTTTGTGTGGATTTCTTGTTCCAGGTATGTCCCATAGCTCCATAGAGAAGCCAGCAGTCCTAGAGTCTGAGAGCAACACTCCAGACAATTTATGGTGCTGGAGAAGTGTGCCCCTTGCAAGATCAGTATCAGAGCTGAAGGAAGCAATCTCTATCCTGCTTTCTCCAAAGCAACTCTGCCCCACAGTGTTGCACACCTGGCGCACAAACACTGTCTCCATCCTCCCCTCTGCCCACCACTGGCCTGTCCTACCCCCAGCAGCAGCCCTCCAGCCCTCAGCCCCCACACCCAGCAATGCCCCAACTCACAGAGTGCCAGCAGCAGGACGGCAGGGACAGAAGGAGACAGCCTTGCCCATGGCGCCTGCCCCAGCATCTTTTGGGGCACTGCTTTTGGGGAGCACCGTCTGCTTCGAGTTTCTGCTTCACTCTGAGCTGGGGACAGTGGGACAGAAGCTTGCGGTGCAGCTGGGACCTTTTGTGTGGGCATTCTTTGTCCACGTGAGCCTGGCCCACACTAAGCATCTCTCTCATCACTGGGGGCCTTGCCTAAAACCTGCTACGTCCGCTGCTTTTGTTGAGCCCCAACTGTTATTTCTGTCCTCTCACACACCACAGTTTTAACAAGTATCTCAAGGGCAGCATCCTTCCTGCAAAGCCCTCCTGCCTCTTGTCCCCACTTGGCTTTGCTCTCTTCTGACCATATCACTCTGCTTTTCTTCAATGTCTGCACAAATGATGACGGCACAAAGGCCAAAGTGACTTCAGTGCTCTGGGGAAGTTGCCAAGGCTGTGGGCAGATTTCTCCTTCATCCTGTTGGTGAATCAGCTTATGAAGAACTCTCAGGGAGTCTCAGCTGTTGCCATACTGCTGCCAGTGCAGCACTGTGGGAGCCATCTGCACCCACACTTTGACCCCCATGCGACCACACAACAACCAGGAAAGGCAGAGGCTTCACCCTGAAGGCACCTGAGCTCTCCCACGCTGCTCTCTCAATTCCCTTCCTCAAAGGAATAGGCGAGAAACTCTAGTTGAAGAAGACTTGTGCACTGAGATAAGGGCAGGGAGATCACTCACCAGTGACCAGAACAGGCAAAAGAGACTCTGCATAAGGCAGATTAATGCAGTTCATTGCCCACCATTAATGGGCACTGCAGGGACTTTCATCCCACAGGAGGTAGGGCCTTTCTTTGGGTAGCACCAGGCCACTTGCCAGATGCTCTTCTGTTAAGCGGCCAAGTGGCTTCTCAAAAATGTCCAGCCAAGTGCTCCCATGCCTCTGCACCCAATGTCCTCATTCCAGCCTTTAACACTCCATGGTAGGGCTCAATCTTTCCAGAGGTTGTTGCGTGACCTGGGATGTGCTAGACCCAAGGAATGCTTTGTTTCTGGGCCCATGGCCCACCATTTTCCTTTGGGCATGACTCCCTGGCACTCTTCTGTTTACACTTGGAGCATCGTGGGCTTCTGATCCTTAATAGCCTGGCTCCAGAAGGCCGGAGGATGACCTCAACTTTCTCCTGCTCTTTCCTGCCGAAGGCTCCTGGCCAGGCCATTTTCCCCACCTGCAGTGTGAAGCACTAGCGGCACAGCTGGGCCTGTATGCACAGGACTAAGAGCCTCCACCACACCCTTTTGGACACCCACTTTCATCTCTTCCAAGGGTTATTTATTGCTTACAACCCCACTTGTCCAGAATATGACAACTTGTTTTGCTGGTTTTTAGCTGGTGGGCACACAGTTGTTACCTCATTGACCTTTTTCATTGGGATGTGGCATCCTGCCATTTTACTCCCACGTTCAACATTCCCTGGGCAGGTCCCTTGACCTTACTCAGGCCAGTGGAAAAACCAGCTTTCAGGAGAATTTGGATGATTTTCTTCCCTTTCTCAAAGACTTCCTCTGCTTTGCTGTCCCATGTGAGGAAGCCATCAATGCACTGCAGGTGCTCAGGAGCTTGCCCTTGTTCCACAGTAATCTGCATTACTGCATGGCAAATGGCAGGGCTGTGTTTGCACCCCTGGCATTGTCCATTGCAGGTGTACTGGATGCCCTTCCAAGGGAAAGCAAACTCTAGCCTGCACTCTGCAGATGCATTGAATTTACATTGCAACGGTTTGGTAGCAGGGGTCCGCACAGGTGGCCTCATTGAGAAGCCCAGAAGCTGCACCCTATTTGAAAAGGGCCAGTGTCAGACTGTGAAAAAGGGACCTGCTGCAGGCCAAAGCTGAGCCAAAAATCAATGTTGTTTGTACATCTGTGAGAACATTTTTAAGAAGGTAAGGAAACCATCTGCACAACAAGTGGTAGAGGGAGGAGTGAGAACCAGCCCTGCAGGCACCAAGGTCAGTGCAGCAGGAGGGCCGGAGGTGCTCCAGGCATGCAGCAAAAGTTCCCCTGCGGCCTGTGGAGAGGTTCCTGGTGGAGCAGGCTGTCCCCCAGCACCCATGGGTCCCACATGGAGCAGATCTCCACGCTGCAGCCCATGGAGGAGCCCCCGGTGGAGCAGGTAAATGTGTCCTGGAGAAGGCTGTGGCCCATGGAGAGCCCCCACAGGAGCCTGTATCTCAACCCACAGGCTTGCTTTTCTTTCTAATTCTCTCCCCCTCCCAGAGAGGGAGGGGGGAGGGTGAGTGAAGGTCTCTGTGGCATTAAGATGCTGTCTGGGTTTAACCACAACACCTGGGTTGATGTAATTAGAACATATTATGGGGAAAAAAAAAAAAGCAAAGAAATTACAACAAAAGGCCAAAAAGGAGGAATGAAAAATGCAATTGCTCACCACTAGCTGATCCATGCCCATCAAGTCCTAGAGTTACGGTAGCCCCCACAGAACTGCGCCCCTAATTTTGTTGTACAGCACAAAGGTGCACTGAGAAAAGGCTGAAAAGGAACCAGTTTGGATAAAGGAGGCATTGCCTCTTTGCCAGAAACCCCCAAGGCCTGGGTTGTGAGTGAGTCCCCTTCTTCACAGGACACAGGCTACAGCACCAGGTCTCCCCATGGAGTCGCTGGCAGGCAGAGGGGCTCAGGCTGTGTAGCCGTGTAAAAGGAACAACAGTTCAGGGCTGATTTACAATTAGCAAGCACGTGCAAAGAGAATGAGCTAAAGGGCTTTGGAAAAGGCTGGTGATGTGTTCTGGTGCCATGGGAGCTGTCAGTCAATGGGCTAAAGCTGGTTGGAGTCGAGGTCCAGTAGGGTTTTGCAGGGAGGATACTGTCCCTGAGATAAAGACAGAGGCAGCCTGTGCTGCGGTGTTTGACTAGCTGTGAATAAAAGTTGGGGCTCTACACATGAAAAAGACGCAGCAGGGGCTGAGGCAGGGCCCTGCTGATGAGAGCCTCTTAGTGTGGGCAAGGCTCATGCAACCACAGCAAGCCCACAGGAAAGGTCCCAGCTGCACTGCAAGCCTTTGCCCCACCGTCCCCAGCTTACAGCAAAGCAGACACCTGAAGCAGACGCTGCTCCCCAAAAGCAGCACCCCAAAAGATGCTGGGGCAGCCACCATGGGCAAGGCTGTCTCCTTCTGGCCTTGCCATCCTGCTGCTGGTGATCTGTGAGTTGGGACATTGCCGGGTGTGGGGGCTGAGGGTTGCTGCTGGGGGCAGGAAAGGCCCGTGGTTGGCACAGGGGAGGATGGGGACAGCATGCGTGGGCCAGGCGTGCAACACTGTGGGGCAGAGTTATTTTGGGGAAGGCAAGATTGGGATTGCTTCCTCCAGCTACGATGCAGATTTAAGCAAGGGGCACACTTCTCCACTACTAAAAGTTTGTTTGTAGCCTTTGTGTGAGACTTTCAGGATGCCTTACAGGATGCCTTAGAGAGCATGGGGACTCCAACTAGAATATAAAACCCATCCAGAATTGACTTGGAATGGTGCCACGTGTGCAGATGAAGTAGATTCTGGATGGAGAACAACAAGTGGGAAGTCCTATTTTCAGGCAGGACTAAGCAGTGGGGATGTGTGCAGGGAGCTGTGGGTGAGCCGCGTCACTGCCCCTCTAAGCAAAACCCTCTCTGCCCCATGCTGCAGGTGCTGGAGTGACCACCCAGGACATCTGCAGCTCTCCAGGATTGCAGGAAAATGGAGGTGTGTCCCGAAAATGAACGTGTCCTGGGGAAGGAGATGGAAAGAGCAAAGTGAATTATTCACACACAGTTTCCCCTGGAAACCCCAGGAGAGTAGACTTCTCTCAGCCTTGGCATGCAGTTGGTTTTGCCACCCGGCAGTCACTAACGCTTGCCTGGGGAATCCCTGTGCCTTCTCTCCAGGTAACGACCAGACGCCAGTCCTGTACCTCAACGCTTCCAGTGCCCAGGAGGGGGAAAAAGTGCTGCTTCAATGTACCATTGATGAGCAGTTTCCTGCTAAGCGAATTGTCTTCTGCAAGAATGGGCAGGAGGAGTTCAGCCTGAAAGCCCAGAATGGCAGGCTCATCTATGCTCTGGTCCTGAACATCACCTCAAGAAGTGCTGGCACGTACACATGTGGGTACCAGCAGAGGAATGACAGCAACTGGGTGAGGAGCTCTGCTCTCAGTGCTCCCCAGACCCTGTCCATGGCAGGTGAGACACAGCCCTGGAGTGTTGAAGGCAGAAGGGACAAGGACACCATTGAGGCTGGAGCTGTGTGCTGCAGCAGGCAGGGCATGTCTCCGGGGTGGTTCCCTGATGGGAATGTTCCCTCTCCTCCAAGGGAGCCCCTAGAGAGAGAGCTGCTCTCAAGGGTCCCCTGGTTACTGCAGCAGTACCTCTGCAGCAGACATGGGTTTCTACATGGCAGTGGAACAGAGAGTAAGGGCTGGCATTGTGAATGGACTCTGGTCTGAGCCAGGGATGTTCCAAGATCTGCCCTTTACACTGATGAGCCTAAGGTAGGGGAAGTGGGGCAACTGTCCTGAGATCAACTATAGCCTATAACTGTAACTATAACTGTGAACAGTTGTGTGGGCTGGTAGACAGAGGGGAGACCACAGTGGTGCTGGTTTAAGATACCAGAATGGGAAGGTGCTTGCTCAGCAAGGACAAACAGTGGGGACATGGGCATGGGTGAGGTGGTGTGCAAGGTCTTGGCCATACTAAGGAAAATGTTCTTTACACCAAGGTGCAACTGCTGGTGAGGCCACCCAGGACATCCACAGCTCCCCAGGTGAGGACCACCATGTGGGTATGCCGGCTTCACAAGCAGGTCCTGTTCCCTGCCTCTCCCCATCACACCCCGCTGCCCTCACACCCTCTCTCCCCCAGCTCCCCATGCCCGGATCCTACACACCCTCCCCATAGGCATGGTGCTAGCAGTGGCAGCCGTCGGCCTCATCCTCCTGGCTGCAGGCAGCTGCTTTGCCATCAGGAAAGGTGAGGGAGTGGGGGAAGAAGGGGGGAAAGGCTGAGGCTGTGGGGGTCCTACTGCGGGGCTGGTGCAGAGGGAAAGGCAGTGGGGGGAACCTGGGGGTGCGCAGCTGGGTCAGACGGTGCCTGGGGGTGATGGCTGTGGGCAGCCCAGCTGGGGAGGCCGCTGAGGGAGCTGGGGAGCTTCAGCCTTTGTCCCCCAGCCCCGAGATGGGAGCAAGGGATGGGCAGCACCTTGGCCTGCGCACCTCAGCCCCTGTTCTTCTTGCAGGTGCCTGCAGAGGGAGATGCCCAAGGTGAGCACCAAGGGCTGCTGGCTGTGGGGTTTGCAGGAGGGAGTTGGGGGCATGGCGGGGCCCTGTGGTGCTCTTCTTCTCAGCACACACACACCTCAGAACCAGGGGGTTTGTGGAAGTGTTGCTAAGGACCTTCATCACCCTTTCATTTTGCTCTCTCTATGCCTCTCCATGGTGCTGGTAGTGCTCAGGACTCTTCTGCTTACACCAGCCATTTCTGTAAGTGCCACTCCCTTCTTCACCCTTCTCCTCTAGGCACTGTGTGAAGTGCTGATGCCTTTACCATGGCAAGCCATGACCATGGGGGCAACTGTTGTGGGGAATGGGAAGCCCTGCCTGCTGTGTGTGGCTGGACACTAATTCAGGTTCTCCCTCCAGATGCCAACGTGGATGAGATGGGCAGAGTGAAGGTGAGTTCAGCCCAAGCACAGCCTTCCATGTTGAGCGTGCACGTGATGGTTGCAAGAGGGCAGGCTGTTGGAGAGCAAATGCAAGCCAAAAGTGCGTCTGATGGCAGGAGCCTGGGAGCTTCGCGTGGCTGTGCTCTGGCTGAAATGCCCTCCTTCCATGCTCCCAGCATTTCCCCATGGTGGGCACCGCCAGACCAAGTCTACTGCTTGTTCTCCCTTGTTTTTTGCAGCTCTCTCAATCCAACTGCTCTCAACACCCACTGGATGTCAAAAGCTGAGCAAGTGAGAGGCGATGCAGTTGGTTCTCTGAGAGAGGCAGAGCACTGGGGAAAGCCCTGCTGATCTGCCAGCTCTCAATGAAGCCATCCCAAACAGGAAGGAGCTGGTGTACTTCTTCTCGGCAAGGTCTGTTTGCAAGGCTCTTCACATCTCTTCAGATCGACACCACCACCCCTTTGTGCCTCGTTGTTTGTCTGTCTGCTCCATCAAATTCCACGTGTGGCTGCATGAGATGGAGGTGCCATCAGGAACACAAATTCAGAGCTGTTTATTTGTCATCAAAACAAAACCACATCTGAAGTGCACTCACTGACTGACGCACACATGCGAGGACATCCCTGCAGTGATATCTGTCCATATAGGTCCAAATGGGCATCTCCGTATGTGGGTAGAAGAGCACCCCTTTCACTTTATACTGCAACTTAGGTGTACAAGTCATCCACTGAGCACAGAGAGATGTCTTCTTTTGTTGAGAGAAAAATAAATACATTCACAGTATGATTCAGTATAGCTCATATATTTTAGAAGTATTAATATATTGTAGGTAGAGGTGTGAGTCCAACATCGTCTTGGCTAAACACACATGGCTTTTCCCTGTGACAGCAAAACTCAAAGAGGACCAAAGCGTATCCCAATGCACCACATTATGGCTGCAGGAGCCCTATGCAAGAGAGCAAAGGCAGTCATGGGCAAGACTCTTGTGCCCTTATGCTGTGACAGCACTATTGGGTCTGCGTGTGGGTCACCATGGGATATGTCGTGGTGTCGCTCATCTGCTGCACAGGAGAAGGCTTTAGGGGGAAAAGAAACCCTGATACTCCAGCTGCTGACTGTCAGCCCTGCACAACGAGCGGGCACCAGGCTGCAGGAGTGCAGAAAGGAGCTGTGCACAGCTGTGCCACGACTCACCCTGTCCCATCAAACATGGCTGTTGGCAGAGTTGGTGGGGGCAAAAAAACCACACCATGATCCCTTGCTGCCTGTTGGTGGAGGGCTGAAACTCACATTGACCTTGGGCAGCATGGTCAGCACACAATGGCCAGCTTCATTTCCCCTCCCATCACCCTGCTCTGGGACATACATTAAGCAGCAATGGAGCAGAAATGCTGAAGTTTTGGTTTATTTCCACCATTCTGTGGCATCACCTCTCCTTGCACAGCCAGCACACCTTGCAAGCTGCTCTGTGCACGTCTGCAAAAACAAGGTTGTGTTGTAACCTTGTTAGAGGTTAGAGGTCAACTTAGAGTGATGTACTCATAGGGTAGGGATATATCTATAGCCTCTGACCCAACCACAACATCCTCTCTTTGTTGCTACCTGTGGTTACAGAGCGAACTCTAAAATGGTTTCCTCACAAGCACAAGGAAAGAGAGACAGATCTTTCACTGCTGCTCTGTCCTTTCAACTTCATGAAAACAGAAATTGCTTTGTAGGAAAACTGAAGAAATAACAAAAGAAGAAGCTGAGGTGGGGGAATTGCAGCCTGGGGCTGCAGCAGCTGTGAAAGGACCCCCCAGGCAAAGGCGCTTTCTCCCCATGAGCACTGGGATGCTGCCATGTCCCTTGTGCAGCCAGCAGCCTCGCACACACTCTGCATGCAAGGAAGAAGCAGGACATGAGGTGCTGGAGAGAAACCTGCCCTTGATGAATGGGCAGGGATTTTGTATGTCCCAGTGGGAAATTAAGTGATGGGATTGCATGGGGGCTCGCACAGGATTCTCATGGGGAGAGGAGCATGTGGCTTCCCCCGAGGGAGGAGGTAGTACTCACACTGGATGTCACCATAGTTGGTGTCTTCCGCCTGTGGGCTGTCAACGTGCTGCTACCTGGAGAGGAATGGAATGGTTCTGGGATGTGCATGTACTGAGGAGGGGTCATGAGGCTTATACCCTCTGGTGTTGCTTTCCTACATTTGGCATGGAACTGGAGGGCAGCCCAAGACAAGCCCCATCCTTCCTGCCTTCTGCACAGGGAATGCCCCTGAACAAGGAGCACCCCAGGGCCCCGCCATGCCCTCAACTCCCTCCTGCACACCCCACAGCCAGCAGCCCTTGGTGCTCACCTTGGGCATCTCCCTCTGCAGGCACCTGCAAGAAGAACAGGGACTGAGGTGCGCAGGCCAAGGTGCTGCCCAGCCCTTGCTCCCATCTCGGGGCTGGGGGATGAAGGCTGAAGCTCCCCAGCTCCCTCAGCAGCCTCCCCAGCTGGGCTGCCCACAGCCATCACCCCCAGGCACCGTCTGACCCAGCTGTGCACACCCAGGTTCCCACCACCGCTTTTGCCTCTGCACCAGCCCCACAGCCGGACCCCCATGGCCTCAGCCTTCCCCCCACCTTCCCCCCACTCCCTCACCTATCCTAATGGCAAACCAGCTGCCTGCAGTCAGGAGGATGTGACTGACTGCTGCCACTGCCAGTGCCGTGCCCGTGGGGATGGCGTGCGGGATCCGGGCATGGGGAACTGGGGGAGAGACTGTGTGAGGGCAGCAAAGTGTGATGGGGAGAGGAATGGAGAAGGATGTGCCCGTGCAGCCAGCATACCCACATGGTGGTCCTCACCTGGGGAGCTTTGGATGTCCTGGGTGGTCATGGAAGCACTTGCACATTGGGGCACGCAGCAGTTTGCTTAGAGGGGTGAAGACCTCATGAACCGCCATGACCATGTCCCCACTGTTGGTCCTTGCTAAACTACACTTTCCCACTGCTCTGTCCAAACAGCACCTACATGGTTTCCTCCCTGGATCCAATCAAAGACACTTTTTGTTGGTTTGCTATTGCAGAGAGAGGTCCCCGGATGCCTAAGCACATAGGTAACTGCCCAGCTTATGACAATCTCCACATTTCTCCTGCCATAGGCTCATCAATTCACAGGGCAGATGTTGAAGCATGCCCCACGCTCCATATCTGCAGCAGAGGTGGTGCTGCAAGGACAGGAGGACCCCTTGAGAACAACTCTCTCTCTAGGGGCTGCCTTGGAGGAGAGGGAACACTCCCGTGAGGGAACCACCCCAGAGCCTGCTGCAGCACACAGCTCCAGACTCAGCACAGCCATGTGGTGGCAAGTGCCTCCGTCCCTTCTCACCCCTCCAGCCCGGGGACGTGTCTCACCAGGGACATTCAGGATGCAGCCGGCACTGAGGGCAGAGCTCCTCATGTGTTTCATCTCATTCAGCGCCTGGTACCCACATGTATATCTTCCTGCGCTTCTTGACGTGATGTTCAGGACCACAGAGTAGCTCAGCTGCCCTTGCTGGGCTATCAGACTGTACAGCTCCATCCCATCCTTGCAGAAGATGATTCGTCTTACGGATGACACTACATGGAGAATACACTGGAGCACAACTGTGGTACCTGGCTGAGCAGAACTTGAGTTCATTTGGAGAGCAGGAGCCAGGAGATCCCCTGCAGGAGACACAGCAGTGAAGGGCTGCCATAGGGCAGAGCTCACAGTGGTTGGGCTTCCAAGTGCCCTGGGTCTGGGAGGGAAGGACTCACAAGTACCTGAGGAGATGCAGATGTCCTGGGAGGTCATGCTGCCACCTGTACCTGGGAGCAGAGAGGGATTTGCTGAGAGGGTCAGTGTCCAGGCTCATCCTGATGCCCCTGCTCACATCCTCACTGCTAAGCAGCCACCATCACACCTGCATGTTCTCATGCTGTATCTCTTCAACAACCTCTTGAACAATGGCAATCCTAATCCCATTTTGTGTGGATTTCTTGTTCCAGTAAGTCCCATAGCTCTGTAAAGAATCCAGCAGTCCTAGAGTCTGAGAGCAACACTCCAGACAATTTATGGTGCTGGAGAAGTGCGCCCCTTGCTCAGACTTATATTATACTTGGAGGAAGCAATTACCATCCTGCTTTCCACAAAACAGCTCTGACCCAGAGAACTGTATGTCTGCCCACTCACACTGTCCCTATCGTACTGTGTGCCCAGCACAGGCTTGTCCTGCCCACAGAAGAAGCCCTCCAGCCCTCAGCCCCCATGCCCAGCAATTCCTCTGTTGCAGGAGGAACGGTTGAAAACACGACAGACACCAGTATGGTCAGATCATGCTCTCTCTTTATTACCCAAATAGCCTGACTTTTATAGCAAACTTAACAGGGGCGGATAGTGTCTTACACAAGATTATTGGTCAAAAGCACTCAGACAAACAACTGCAAGAAAACAATCCCCTTGTGATTAGCAGTCACGTACATCCTGTCCTTGAAGCCAGCTGCTGGCAACAATATTTCTTAATTCCTCAATTGGGTTTGTTGGAACGTATATGATAGGAACTTCACCAAGTCGACCTGACAGCTTGGTTTGCTCAGCTGCAGCAAGTCATGGCCTCCTTACTCTTTCAAGAAGGCCTAAACATGTCCCAACTCACAGATCACCAGCAGCAGGACGGCAGGGCCAGAAGGAGACAGCCTTGGCCATGGCGCCTGCCCCAGAACCTTTTGGGGCTCTGCTTTTGGGGAGCAGCGTCTGTTTCAGGTGTCTGCTTTGCTGTGAGATGGGGATGGTGAGACAGAGGCTTGCAGTGCAGCTGGGAGCTGTCCTGTGGGCTTTCTGTGGCTGCCTGAGCCTGCTCACAGCCAGAAGCTCTAATTATTGGGGCCCTACCTCAGACCCTTCTATATCTGCTTCAATTTGAGAGCCCCCAATCTTATTCTCTCACATACCACAACACTCGCTGTTTTACTTCTATCTTAGCGATGGCATCCTCCTTGCAAAGCCCTTCTGCTCTTTATCCCAACACTGCTCACTGTTTTGCTCTCTTCTGAACACATCCTCTCCAACACCACAGTTTTAACAAGTGTCTTAAGGGCAGCATCCCCCCTGCAAAGCCCTCCTGCCCCTTGTCCACTCAGCTTTGCCCTCTTCTGACCACATCATTCTGCTTTTCTTCAACATCTGTACAAAAGATGACGGTGACAGGGGAATCCTGAACCAAGGTGAAGTCACCAAAGTGACTTCAGTGATCTGGGGAAGTTGCCAAGGCTGCGGGCAGATCCCTCCATTCTGTCAGTGAATCAGCTTATGAAGAACTCTCAGGGAGTCTCAGCTGGGGCCATACTGCTGCCAGCACAGCACTGCAGGAGCCATCGGCACCCACACTTTGACCCTCATGCGACCACACAACAACCAGGAAAGGCAGAGGCTTCGTCCTGAAGGCATCTGAGCTCCCCCACACTGCTCTCTCAATTTCCTTCCTCGAAGGAATAGGCGAGAAACTCTACTTGAAGAAGACTTGTGCACTGAGATTAAGGAAGAGAGATCACTCACCAGTGACCAGCACAGGCAAAAGAGACTCCACATAAGGCAGATTAATGCAGTTCATTGCCTACCATTAATGGGCACTGCAGGGACTTTCATCCCACAGCAGGTAGGGCCTTTCTTTGGGTAGCACCAGGCCACTTGCCAGATGCTCTTCTGTTAAGCGGCCAAGTGGCTTCTCAAAAATGTCCAGCCAAGTGCTCCCATGCCTCTGCACCCAATGTCCTCAATACAGCCTTTAACACTCCATGGTAGCGCTCAATCTTTCCAGAGGTTGTTGAGTGACCTGGGATGTGCTAGACCAAGGAATGCTTTGTTTCTGGGCCCATGGCCCACCATTTTCCTTTGGGCATGACTCCCTGGCTCGCTTTTGGCACTTGGAGCATCATGGGTTTCTGATCCTCAACAGCCTGGCTCCAGAAGGCAGAGGATGACCTCAGCTTTCTCCTGCTCTTTCCTGCCGAAGGCTCCTGGCCAGGCCATTTTGCCCACTTGCAGTGTGAAGCACCACTGGCACAACTGGGCCTGTACACATAGGCCCAAGGGCTCCCATTGCAGCCTTTTGAACACCCACTTTCACCTCTTCCCACTTCAAAGTGCTCTTCTTTCAGGTTACTTCTTAGGGAGGGCTCAGAAGCTCCCTACAGCATGCACTATGCCTTCTCCAGAAACCCACAAGGCCTAGGAAACCTTGTGTTTCTTTCGTTTTAGCTCATGGGGATGCAGTTGTTACCTCACTGACCTCACCCACTGGGGTATAGCAACATCTACCTTGCCATTTTACACCCAAGTTTCACATTTCCTGTGCAGGTCCCTTGACTTCACTCTGGTCAATGGCAAAACCAGCCTTCAGAAGAATTTGGATAATTTTCATCCCTTTCTCAAAGACTTCCTCTGCTTTTCTGCCCCACATGAGGCTGCCATCCATGCACCGCAGGTGCTCAGGAGCTTCCCCTTGTTCCACAGCCATCTGCATTACTGCATGGCAAATGGCAGTGCTGTGTTTGCACCCCTGGCATTGTCCATTTCAGGTGTGCTGGATACCCTTCCAAGGGAAAGCAAACTGTGGCCTGCACTCTGCAGCTCTATTGGGGTTACGTAGGCAGGTAGCGGGGGTCTGCAGAGGTGTCCTCAGTTAGACGCTGCCTCCTATTTGAAAAGGGCCGGTGTCAGACTGTGAAAAAGGGACCTGCTGCAGGCCAAAGCTGAGCCAAAAATCAATGTTGTTTGTACATCTGTGAGAGCATATTTTAGCAGGGAAGGAAACCATCTGCACAACAAGTGGTAGAGGGAGGAGTGAGAACCAGCCCTGCAGGCACCAAGGTCAGTGCAGCAGGAGGGCAGGAGGTGCTCCAGGCATGCTGCAAAAGTTCCCCTGCGGCCTGTGGAGAGGTTCCTGGTGGAGCAGGCTGTCCCTCTGCACCCTTGGGTCCCACATGGAGCAGATCTCCACGCTGCAGCCCGTGGAGGTGCCACCGGTGAATCAGGTGGTTGTGTCCTGGAGGAGGCTGAGGCCCATGGAGGGGCCCTGCAGGAACATGTCCCAAGCTGGAGCTGCAGTCTTTACCAATTGCTGGACCATTCCTTTGCAAGATACAAGAACTATATGCATTAACCACTCTGTTTTTCTTAGACTTGTAGTTACACAAGAGTATGAAAGACAGAACGTCACATTTCATCATATCATGTGGCCTTAGGATTGTTCCATATTAACACGAACCAGATGAACACATTTCACACTATCATGGGTAGGAACAATGCATTCAAGTGTGATTTAGTACAGCAACAGGTACACAGGTTCTTTGGATTGCCAGCGAAAGTTGCTGTCTGCAAAAGCAAGCTAGTATGCATGAAATACACAGGTGACACAGGTGCTCAGCCTGGAAATTAACGCATTAAAAGGCACAAAGACTCTATAGTGATTTCAAAGTTTCCGCGGAGACACACAGTATAGCCACGTGTTCAAATCTCAGACAAAGGCATCCCAATGTGGGGAGAGGGTGGAAGAGAAGCTCAGCCCGTCGACTGATCCCAGGAGTCAGGAGGTCCTCAGGATGGTGTATTCCCTCAGGGTGGTATCTCCCCTGACAGTGGTATCTTCCCCAACATAACCTCTCTCTTAGGCCAATTTATATTATTTTCTATCTTTTAGGTGGAGCTTGAGTGACTCTAGTCAAGCATATCTTAGTTATGATTGCTGAAAAGTTATCCCATCTCCATTTAAAGTAATACGCTCTGAGAAATTCAGAGTGCATCCTCAGTGAGGGGTGGTCGCACATTGGAGGCAGGTAGCTTTTGGGATGGAGGTGTGTTTTGGTATTATAATGATATTACAATGAGGAAAAGTACACTAGGGTACAGCATTTGTCAAAACGTGACAGGTCCTTGTCTCAGGGTAGCAAAAAGTGCGGCTGAGATACAGAAGACCCAGCACAGGGATGGGCGGGTGTGGGGTGCAGAGTGCCAAGCATGGCCACCCCCTGGTAATCTGCATGGCCTCAGCCATCCTCACAGCAGCACTTTTCCATGCCACATCTACCAGGGCAGTGGCAGTATGTAGGGGAACTCTTGGGTGTCAGGGCAAAGGGAACAGCAGGTCCCTCGCTGTCATGGGGCCAAGGAACATGGCCCCATATGGCAGTCATAGAGCAGCGCTCCCAGCTCTGCTCACTGGCTTCCCTCTCAAATACAGAGCAGCAACATCAGCTGGTGCATTCTGAGCCAATCCTTTATATTTTGCCTCCCACAAGACCTATACCCATCAAGGTGCCTCCACACAGGGCACTGTGACCACCTGGGGATGTGCCCATTGCAGCCGGCACCACCTTGGGCACAAGGAGGTGCTGGAGTGATGCAGGAGCTGCAGAGCATGGCTACCTGGGGGTGCAGACATGACTCCATCCCCTTGTGTTGTTCTGGTATTCAGAGGTGGATCACATGATGGAGATCCTATGACTAGGAGCGGCAGCAACGTGGGTGTTGTGGTTGAAGGCAGCCAGGAGAGTGCACGATCCCTCCTTAATGTGAGCAGAGAGCAGAGTCTCAGCCAAGGGAAGCAGAGCAGTGGCAGCACATCCCTTGGGCATGCTGCCCCAGCTGCCTTGAACCCAATGGCAGTGGGAGCCTGGCAAATGTGTGGGGGTCATGTTCTGAGCATGAGGGAGCAGGCTGGGGAGAGCATAGAGCCCAGGAGGACATCAGAGCACCATGGGGACAGGGATGTCTCCAGGCTGCCTGGCCCTGCTGGCACCATGGCTCCATCTCTCCAGGAGGAGGGTGATGATGGGGGCAGACAGCAGAAGGAGTAGGCTGAGGGCAGAGCGCAGGATCCAGACTTCCAGGGGCATGGATATCCCTGTGAGAGAACAGAGTCACAGTGTCACGAAGGCAAGCTACATAGGACAGACGTGTTGGGAAGGACTGATGAGCAATGGCTCACCTCTGGAAGGGAGCTGGGCCCTCTGTGAGGGGCTGCTGCATGTGGGAGACATGAACATGCTTATGTCCCTTGAACTCTGTTTTGGTACAATCCCAGATGCTGAGGAGATGCTGAGCTCATGTCTTGCTTCCTTGAGCACACAGGGAACATGAGCAAGCCTTTTCATGTAAGTTCCCAAACACAGGTTTGTAAAGGTTAGAGGGACATCCTAGAGTGGTAGTGGAACACCCCAGGGTCCACAGACAACCCCAGCCCTTGTTCTATATTCCAGTGCCAAATGCAGCCCTATCTCTGCTGCAGAGGTACTTGAGGAGGGACAGGGGCACCTCTGAGAGCAGCTCTTTCTCTAGCAGCTGCTTTACAGGAGAGGGAACACCCCCATGGTGGATCTACACCACAGCCATGCCCTACCTGCTGCAGTACACAGCTCCAGCCTCTGCAGTATCTCCATCCCTTCTGTTCAAACCACCCTGGGGCCGTATCTCTCCTGGCACAAACAGGCTGCCCGGCCCTGGCTCCCATCTTGGGGCTGGGGGACAAAGGCTGAAGCTCCCCAGCTCCATCAGCAGCCTCCCCAGCTGGGCTGCCCACAGCCATCACCCCCAGGCACCGTCTGCCCCAACTGTGCACCCCCAGGTTCCCTCCACCACCTTTCCCACTGCACCAGCCCCCAACAGGACCCCACGGCCTCAGCCTTTCCCCCCTTCTTCCCCCACACCCTCACCTTTCCTGATAGCAAACCAGCTGCCTGCAGCCAGGAGGTAGAGGCCAACGGCCGCCACTGCCAGCGCCATGCCTGTGGGGAGGGCGTGCGGGATCCGGGCATGTGGAGCTGGGGGACAGAGGGTGTGAGGGCATCGCGGTGTGATGGGGAGAGGCAGGGAGCAGGACGTGCCCATGCAGCTGGCACACCCAACTGTTCATCCTCACCTGGGGAGCTGTGGATGTCCTGGGTGGTCTCACCAGCACTTGTAACTTGGGGCAAAGTGCATTTTTCTTTGTAGGGCCAAGACATTGCACACCACCTCAACCGTGCCCATGTCCCCACTGTTTGCCCTTGCTGAGTAGGAACCTTCCCAACCTGGTGTCTCAAACCAACACCACTGTGGTCTCCCCTCTGTTTACCAGAACTTACTTTTACTCACATATATGCTGTAGCCCATCTCATGACAATCACATGAATTCCCTGGCCACAGGCTCATCAATGTAAAGGACAGATCTCTCTGTGACTTCACCCAGCACATTCAGAAGTCTACAGCAGAGGTGGACCCTTGAGAGCAGCTTTCTCTCGAGGGGCTCCCTTGGAGGAGTGGGAACACTCCCATCAGGGAACCACACCAGAGCCATGCCCTGCCTACTGCAGCACACAGCTCCAGCCTCTGTGGTGTCTCTGTCCCTTCTGTCCCCACCACCCTGGGGCTGTGTCTCACCTGGCATAGACAGCATCCAAGGAGCACTGAGAGCAGAGCTCCTCACCCAGTTGCTCTCGTTCCTCTGCTGGTACCCACACGTGTACGTCCCAGCACTTCTGGAGGTGATGTTCAGGTCCATAGTGTAGATGACCTTTCCCTGCTGGGCTTTCAGGCTGAACTCTTCCAGCCCATTCTTGCAGAAGACAACTCGTGTAGCAGGAAAATGAGCATCAATGGTACATTGAAAGAAAACTATTTCCCCCTCCTGGGCACTGGAAGTGTTGAGGTACAGGACTGGCGTCTGGTCATTACCTGGAGGGACGACACAGGGATTCCCCAGGCAAGTGTTACTGACTGCAGGGTGGCAAAAACAACTGCATGCCAAGGCTGGGAGACTGTGCTGTCCTGGGTCTTACAGGGGAAACTGTGGGGGAATAATCCCCTTAACCCTTCCCATCTCCTTCCCCAGGACACGTTCATTTTTGGGACTCACTTCCATGCTCCTGCAATCCTGGAAAGTTGCAGATAGCCTGGGTGGTCACTCCAGCACCTGCAGCAAGGGGCAGAGAGGTCTTTGATTAGAGGGTCAGTGATCTCCTGCCTTCCCCAAACCAACTCTGCCCCACAGTGCTGCATGCCTGTCCCACACATGTTCTCCACATCCTCCCCTGTGCCCACCACTGGCCTGTCCTACCCAGAGCAGCAGACCTCCAGCTCTCAGACCCCATGCCCAGCAATGCCCCAACTCACAGAGCATCAGCAGCAGGACGGCAGGGCCAGAAGGAAACAGCCTTGCCCATGGCGCCTGCCCCAGCATCTTTTGGGGTGCTGCTTTTGGGGAGTACCGTCTGTTTCAGGTGTCTTCTTTGCTGTGAGCTGGGGATTCTGGGACAGAGGCTTGCAGTGCAGCTGGGAGCTGTCCTGTGGGCTTTCTGTGGCCGTCATAGCCTGGCCCACAGACAGAGGCTCTCATCAGCAATGGCCCTGCCTCAGCCCCTGCTACATCCGCTGCTTTTTTTGAGTCCCCGCTGTTATTTCTGTCCGCTCACACACTGCAGCTCATGCTGTTTTTACATGTATCTCAAGGGCAGTATTCTTCCAACAGAGGCCTCCTGCCCCTTTTCCTATTGCCATATTTGGTTCATTTTTTTACACCTCTCCATCAGGCTAGAAAACTTCTGCAGCCTCTCCCAAGTTGATTTCTATCTCTTCCACACCCATGTGGGAAGAAGGGAGAGAGAAAAAGAAATCATCCTCTACTTCCCATCAACAAGCAATGTTGGACCATGTGTGGGGAAGCAAGACCTCGATATGTGTAGCAGTTGTTTGTGAGGACAGACATATTTATAAGGAGAGACCCAACTCTCCTTCCCTTTCCCACCTATTATTCCCGAGTGTGACATCCTGTGCTATGGAAAACCCCTTTGGTCGGTTTAGGGCAGCTACCCTGGTGATGTCCCCTCCCCACCTCTTGCCCACCCCGAGACCTACTGGGCCACTGCAGGGATAGTTATCTCCATCCCAGCCAGACCCAGCACCCCTTAATATATCCTAGTATCATGGTTTAACCTGGCTGGCAGCTAAACACCACCCAGCCGTTCACTCACCCTCCCCCCTCCCTCTCTGGAATGGGGAAGAGAAACGGGAAAGTGAAGCCTGTGAGTTGAGATAAAGACAGTTTATTAGGACAGGAAAATAATAATAACAATAATAATAATGACAATAATGATGATAATAGTGCTACTACTAATAATGTGTACAAAACAAGTGATGCACAATGCAATTGCTCACCACCCACTGACCGATGCCCAGCCTAACCCCAAGTTGTCTGGCCCTCCTCCCCTGGCTAGCCACCCCTATATATTGTTTAGCATGATGTCAGGTGGTATGGAATACCTCTTTGGCTAGTTTGGGTCACCTGTCCTGGGTCTGTCCACTCCCAGCTCCTGCTGCACCCCCAGCCTGCCCATTGGCAGGACAGAGCAAGAAGCTGAGATGTCTTTGGCTTGGTGTAAGCACTGCTCTGCAACAATTAAAACATCGGGGTGTTATCAGCACTCTTCTCATCCTAAGCCAAAACATAGCATTCTACCAGCCACTAGGAAGAAAATTAACTCTGTCCTAACTGAAACCAGGACACCTACTTATATCAACCCATATATTTCCTAACTTTTGTCCTCTTTGTTTTCTATCCTGATCCTATTGGGGCTTGACTGGGCAAGCAGCTTTGTTCTGCTTGCCTGACCACTGGACGTAAACCTCAATTGCTATTTTTGGAACACTACTTGGGGCCACAAGGGTGGAGATAACCACAGATTTGGGCAGTAAATTTATGGAAGACTCCTGTTTGTTCCATTTGTTTAACAAGTACTTCTTGGGATGCTGATGTATTTTCACCAGGTGATCTTTCAACATCCCTTCCAATCCAAAACACTGTGATTCTGTGATTCTGTGATTCTGTGTGTCCAGAGCACTACCAGAGAAGCCCCCCTCCCTTCCCTCAGTAGTCTCTTTCCAGGTTTCCACAGTGCCTCAGGGCTACCAACAAGACAGCTTTCCCCACTCTTTTGCCAGTTGGGATCATTTCAGCCTCCAGTGCAGACAGCGGTTGGCATCCCCCTGTCCCTCCAGAAAAATACAGTGGGGTTCTGACCCCAATAACCTGATGGCAGTAGGGTCCCATCTTGTTCATCACCAGCCCTCCATTGCCTCTAGTGTTCCTTTTATCTGCAATGTATTTGTACAAGCCCTTTCATTTCTCCATGACCCCTCTTGCAAGGTTTAATTCTAGGGAAGCCTTAGCTTTCCTAGTTCCCTTCCTACATCCTCTGACAACAGCCTTATATTCCTCCCAAGTGGCCTCCCAAGTGTAGACTCTCCTCTTCCACTTGAGTTTGCCCAGCAGTTCCCTCTTTAGCAGGTCTCCAGGCTCTCTTTACAGACTTCAAACCTGATGAGATGCTCAGATCTTGAGCTGGGAAGAAGCAGTTCTTGAACACTAACCAACTGTCTTGGGACGCTTTCCTTCAGGTACCTTGCCCCATAGAAATTTCCCCTAGCAACTGTGTGAAAAGGCGAAAGTTGTCCCTACTGAAGTCCAGGGTTGCGATTCTGCTTGGTATTCTGTTCTTGCCACATGAGATCCTGAATTGCACCATCCCAGTGTCGCTGCAACCAAGGTTGCCTTCAACCTTCAGCTTTGAGAAGAGAAGACTGAGAGGAGACCTTATCAATGTATACAAATACCTTAAGTGTGGGAGACAGTGGGATTTGGCCAACCTCTTCTCAGTTGTTTGTGGGAATAGGACAAGGAGCAATTGTCAAAAAAATGGAGCACTGGAAGTTCCACACCAACATGTGAAAGAATTTCTTCACAGTGAGGGTGACAGAGCACTGGAACATGCTGCCCAGGGAGCTTGTGGACTCTCCATCTCTGGAAATATTCAAGGCCCATCTGGACACCTACATAGGCAACCTGCTCTAGGTAAACTGCTTTGGCAAGGGGGTTGGACCGATGATCTCTTGAGATCCCTTTCAACCCCTAAAATTTGTGATTCTGTGATTCAGAATCAACCAACCCCTACTTGTTGGTGATGACAAGATCTAGCAGCACTCCACTCCCAGTTGGCATGTTCACCATTTCCATCAGGAAGTTACCATCAATGCACTGGAGGAACCAGTACTGAAGGAACTTCCTGGACTTCGGGTGACTGGCTGAGTAGGCCTGCCAGCAAATGTCAGAGTAGTCGAAATGCTCCATGATAACCAGGGCCTGTGATCAAGAGGCTGCTCTCAGCTGCCTGTAGAAGGCCTTGTCAGCTTCCTCATCCTGATCTAGTGGCCTGTAACAGACATGCACAACTACATCCCCCATGCCAGCCTGCCCCTTAATTCTCACCCACAGACTCTCAACTCGCTCTCATCTACCCCTGGACAGTACTCAATACAATGGAGTTGCTCTCTCACTTGAAGAACAGTTCCGCCACCTCACCTTGCTGGCCTGTCTTCCTGAGCAGGACATAGCCATCCATGACCACATTCCAGCCATGTGAGCTGTCCCACCATGTCTCTGTAACTGCCACCAGACCTCAGTCTTCTGACCAAAGAGAGTTTTCCAGCTCCTCCTTCTTTAGTCCCCATGCTGCATGCATTGGTGTCCAGGCATTTCAGGGAAGAAGCTAAGAACGCTGATTTCACCCCATGAGGGGTGGGAGGCCTCCTGGTCTTCATCTCTGTGGGGTCACTGCCCCACTGCTACAAGCCCCGCTACACCCCATCCCCCTGTGGATATAGCTTGAAGCTCTCCAAAGGAGCCCTGCTAATTGCTGTCCCAGAACCCTCTGGACCCTGTGAGATAAACCTTTCCCAAGTATTCCTCTCAGGCCTGCTGTCTTATAACACCAGCCATTACCAAACAACCCAAAGTTGGGCCTGTAGCACAGGTCAGGGAGCCAAGCATTTATGGACCAGATGCTTCTATTCCATCCAATGTCACCACCCCAGAATGGATGGAGGGAAGAGAAAGGGACTTGTGCTCCAGACTCCTTCACCAACCGTCCCAAGGCCTTGAAATCTTTCTTCATTCCCCTCAGACTACAGGACGCAGCTTCCTCCAAAATTGTCTGGAATATCTTCAGTGCGTGATCCACCTCTGCATACCCGGAGAATACGAGGGGAAAGAGTCACGGCTGCACCCCCAGGCAACCATGCTCTGCAGCGCCTGCATCACTCCAGCACCTCTCTGTGCCCAAGGTGGTGCCGGCCGCAATGGGCATATCCCCAGGTGGTTATGGTGCCCTGTGTGTAGGCACCCTGTGTGGTGGGTATTGGTCCTGTGGGAGGCGAGTTATAAAGGATTGGCTCAGAATGCACCAGCTGATGTTGCTGCTCTGTATTTGGGAGGGAAGCCAGCGAGCAGAGCTGGGAGAGCTCCTCTACGACTGTCATATGGGGTCATGTGTCCTGTGAGGGAGCTGCTGTTCCCTTTGCCCTGACACACAAGATTTATCCCAACCTGCTGCCATTGTCCTGGCAGATGTGTCATGGAAAAGTACCGATCTGAGGATGGCTGAGGCCATACAGATGACCAGAGGGTGGCCACACCTGTCCTTCTGCATCACATGCCCACCCATCCCTGTGCCAAGACTGCCTGTCAAACTGCCATCCCCAGGAGACAGCCCTGAGCAGGGATGTTGTACATGGGGGCATCCAGCTGTGGGGAAGGTGGGGATGGGGTATCAGCATGGCTGGCCCCCACACCCACAGACCATCCACAGCCTTGCACTATGGGCTTTTAGACATCCCACACCAATACCTGGAAGGAACCAAGGTGTCCCTTCATTGCAGCTCCCAGTGCTGACATCTGGGGCCTTGGTGTGCAGTGGGGGACTCTGGGATAAGATGGGTTCAGGCAGGAGTGGAGCTGCTCAGCTGGGAGGCATAAGGCTGCATGGCTGCATGGAGGGAATAGGGGATAGGAAAATGGGTTCAAAACTCAGCAAGATCTGGTTAGATGCAGAGCTGGAGGGGAAGTGGGATTCAGGCTCCTTCCTGCAAGGAAATTCCCTCACCTCTCCAACCCCAATCAAAACACTTGTCTCACATCTACCTTCAGGCCCATGCATTCATGTTTCACAGCACAAGCCTCCAGGAGACTTTTCCTTAAAGGGTACAAATGGAGTTAGGTGCAAGGAGCTACTCCCTCATTCCCATACAGCCTCCAACCCTCCCTGGTGAGTGAATGCCCATTGTGGTGTCAGCTGCAGACTTGCTGAGGGTAATCTCTACCCCAGCATCCTCCGAATAATGCCGATGTTGAATTCAATTGGACCTCATTTGGACCCCTGGGGTACACCACTAATTAGTGTATTTCAACTAGACTTTGCAGCACTGATCACCCTCCTTGGGTGCACTCCAATATTCACTCACTCAGAACAAACATCAACAGTTTCTCTATGACAATCTTAG